AAGTTTTAGTTTGACTGAAGTTAGTGGAATTAAACTGAAAAGTAGTAGTTTTAATGCACGATAGCCACCTATACTATAAATAAAAATCAGAAAGGAAAAATACCACAGTTATTTTAGAGTAGCTCCCGCACAGTTTTTGTAAATCTTATTCTCAAAAAATGACAACATTTGTGTGTTATAATAATAGTAGCAATGACAATAATTTACCCTCACAGAGCAACATAACAATAATTTATTCTCAATTAACAACACGTTGCAAGAGGCATGCCGATTTTTAGGCAAGGAAAGTATCCATAACCAGTAATTAGACAGAGAATCTTACATCATTTTTGTCTGTAACTCCAAAATTAGAGTTTTGATAATCAGAAGCCATCACACTTGGACTGAAACTTCACGAATGAAAAATTACTGACTGAAAACCTCTCAGTCCTGGCTTCGCTGGGAAAAAGCCATCGAACCGTCTAATGCTTCCAATTTATTAGTAAAACCGAGCGAAAGCATTCTTCTAACTACAAGCGTTGAAACTGCAGATTGGCGGATATATAGGCTGTTCAAATTAACAAGGAACCGATGTACAAAAGCTCCAAGAGAAGATACACCTACGTGTCAGATCAAGCTAATCGACATATTTTTTCCAATCAGAAGAACACATTCCGTTATTCGGCCTCTCTTCAACAAGCCGAAGCTGGTGTTTCCCAGTTTTTAGAGTATAATGGGCTGGCCAATAAAGATGATGTTGCAGAGCTTTTAGTTTAACAGTATCCCCAAATATTTCAACAAGCACACAGTACTGAGAGCTTCATTTTCAACCTAGGAATCTCGGAAGTGGACCCAAGCCTTGGTGTGATTCATCAAAGACGAAATCTGAATTGGGGCACTCCTAGTCTGGAACAAAAGAAATGGCTTTAATCATTGCATCGCCACTTAGTGTGATCTTCTCACAATCGCAGATAACGAGAACTTTGCCCGCTACATAAAATGTGTCCCTGAAACACTGGGCTGGTGTATCAGAAACTAATGCATCTGCACAAGGACACCTCCACTGGCAATTTCTTCTAAACTTGGGCATCAGTCTTGGCGACATACGTAAGCGTGATGTTAAGACATTCACTAAGTGAAGCCACGGTCCCTGACTATTGGAAGCTGGAGAATATAACACGAAGTTTCAAAGGAGGCAGACTCAGGGGAAATTTCAGCTTCTGGCAAGTGGCATTCTTCTCAATATCATCCAAAGTTATTTAGTCCCCAGCATATGGCGGCCTATTCTCAAACTTCTTTTCTCTCCGGCAACCATGTTTTAGTAAGAGGCACTCTTGAACACATAGACTGACAATGATCCGTGATCTCAGAGGGTACGTTGATGTAAGAAATGTTTGATTCTAAATAGCTTTTCATAAAGTTATTCATATATGTGTCATTCATGAACTCGAATTGTTAGACATCGAGCCACCCTTAGTAGGCTGGCCAACTTTATCTGTAATCAACTTTTTGAGGTCAGGGTTAGGTTATCAGGCTGTAGAGTGTCCTTGTCAGATTCCCCACAGCTGAGTACGAGGATCCGTTCTGAATAATATAAATAACATTCCTCAACAAGTGACGCATGAGTAATTACTTTTCACTGATGATTTTAAACTTATGGAAGAAGTTTGTAACAATAATTATATGCTGGCATTTCAGGAAGATCTGGTTCGACGTCGAAGTTAGGCGGATAACAACGGACTCACTTTTGACACTCTGAAGGGCGAAGAAATCCGAGACTTGTTGCAGTCTGCGCATATAACTTAAGTAACTTACTTCTAGAGGTGTCCTAAGTTGAAAGAGATCTAGCTATCTTCGTATCCCATAACCAAAGCATATCACGGTACATTTACTTATTGGAGTACGGCTATTTCACGGGTGACATTTTATTAACTTGTAGCATCTTAAAAACTCATAGGTATTTCCTTTGTTAATTAGAGAGGTAATACCTACAAATTAGACGTCCAACTTATCAGAATAGACTATAGACACACCTTTTACTCTTTACAAATGGTCAGATTATGGACTTCTGTAGTGACTGAGGTTGTGGAAGCAGCTCCTCTGGAGTCCTTCAGGAGTTAATTTGACATTTTTAACTTCTTACGAGCTCCGCCTGTAGACCCTTTGGGGCTACCGCTGGTCCCAAGCCCGGATAAAGGAGGAGGGGGTTGGGCAAGAGGTTGGAGCCCCTGTCCCATCTATAAACTAACTTGCCAAAAAACGCTAACCAGAACAAATAATTCAAACCATTTTAACTCTGCCCTGGGAGTTGGAAGAAGAAGTATAACGTCTCGTGATGAAAGCCGAGTTCCATCGGAAGTCACGAGGCCGATGCCTCTTCTGACAACCATAGCAACCATTCTTTTAGGTACTTGGAACGTTCGTACATTGTGGGAGACTGGAAGACTATTTCAAGTTGCGGCAGAAATGAAAAGATACAACCTCGAGGTGCTTGGAATCGGCGAAACGCATTGGACACAGGTAGGACAACTGAGACTAGCTTTAGGGGAACTGCTGTTATACTCTGTTTATGAAGAGGAAAATGCGTCACATACGCAAGGAGTTGCACTGATGCTGTCCGAACAAACACAAAAGGCACTGATAGGATGGGAATCCCATGGACTTAGGATCATCAAGGCATCCCTGAGAACAGAGAAAGAGGACATTACAATGAACGTCATCCAATGTTATGCACCTACCAACGACTACAATGACGACGTTAAAGACCAATTCTACGAAAGGCTGCAGTCAATCGTCGATAAATGTTCACCAAAGGATTTGACGATTCTTATGGGAGACCTGAATGCCAAGGTTGGAATGGACAACACTGGATATGAAGACATCATGGGACGACATGGACTGGGAGAAAGGAACGAAAACGGTGAGAGATTTGCAGACCTATATGCCTTCAACAATCTGGTCATCGGTGGCACAATATTCCCGCACAAAACGCATTCACAAAGCCACATGGATTTCACCGGATCACACAACTCAAAACCAAATTGACCATATCTGTATCAATAAAAAGTTCAGAAGGACCATGGAGGATGTGAGAACCAGGAGAGGAGCTGATATAGCTTCAGATCACCATTTGCTGATCGCCAAAATGAGATTGAAGCTAAAGAAGCACTGGACAACGGGGCAGACAACATCACAGAAGTTTAATACAGCCTTTCTTCGGGATACCGTAAAACTCAACGAATTCAAGATAGCCCTCACCAATAGGTTCCAGGCCTTTCAGGATCTACTCAATGGAGAGGAAGCAACATTGGAGTACAATTGGAAAGGGATTAAGGAGGCAATCACTTCAACATGTCAGGAGGTCCTTGGTCGCAAGAAGCACCATCACAAGGAATGGATCTCTGTTGATACTCTTGCAAAAATTGAAGAAAGGAGGAACAAGAAGGCAGCAGTGAATGTCAGCCGAACAAGAGCAGAGAAAGTTAAGGCGCAAGCCGAGTATACAGAAGCAAACAGGGAAGTGAAGAAGAGCATCAGAGCTGACAAACTAAAATATGTGGAAGATCTAGCAATGACGGCGGAAAAGGCTGCAAGAGAAGGAAACATGAGACAATTGTACGAAACAACAAAGAAGCTCGCCGGAAACTATCATAAGCCAGAACGACCAGTGAAAAGCAAGGAGGGCAAAGTAATCAGCAACACTGAAGAACAGCGAAATAGGGGGGCAGAGCACTTTAAGAAACTCCTGAATCGACCAGCTCCACTGAACCCACTCAACATCGAAGCAGCATCCACGGACCTCTCAAGTGATGTTGGGGCACCTACAATTGAGGTGTGCCTAAGAAAATAGTTAACATCATACGGAATTCTTATGATGGATTCAACTGCAAAATCGTGCACGAAGGACAGCTAACAGGCTCTTTCGAGGTGAAGACCGGTGTGAGGCAAGGTTGCTTACTCTCACCCTTTCTCTTTCTTCTGGTGATCGACTGGATTATGAAGACGTCGACATCTGAAGGGAAGCACGGTATTCATTGGACAGTTAGGACGCAGCTGGACGATCTGGACTTCGCAGATGACCTGGCTCTTCTATCGCACACTCAACAACAAATGCAAGAGAAGACGACCAGTGTAGCAGCAGCCTTTGCAGCAGCAGGTCTCAACACTCATAAAGGAAAAAGCAAAATTCTCCGATACAACACAATATGTTCCTACCAAATCACTCTTGATGTAGATGCCTAGGAGGACGTTAACAACTGGGTAGCATCGTCGAAAATCAAGGCGGATCCGATGCAGATGTGAGGGAGCGGATTTGCAAAGCAAGGGTTGCAATTCTACTGTTGAAAAATATCTGGAACTCAAAACAACTTTCAATCAACACCAAAATAAGGATTTTCAATACAAATGTCAAGACAGTTCTACTGTATGGAGAGAAAACTTGGAGAACTACCAAATCCATCATCCAGAAGATACAAGTGTTTATTAACAGTTGTCTACGCGAAATACTTCGGATTCGTTGTCCAGACATCATCGCTAACAACCTACTGTGGGAGAGAACAAACCAGATTCTATTGGAGGAGGAAATCAGGAAGAAGCGGTGGAAATGGATAGGACACATATTGCGGAAAGCACCCAACTGCGTCACGAGACAAGCACTGACATGGAACCCTCAAGGTAAAAGGAAAAGAGGAACGCCAAGGAACACATTACGCCGAGAAATAGAGAAAGATATGAGAGGAATGAACAAAAATTGTACAGAACTAGAAAGCGAAGCCCAGGACAGAGTTGGTTGGAGAAAACTGGTGAGCGGCCTATGCTCCATTGGGGGTAACAGGGGTAAGTAAGTAAGTAACTGCTTAGGACAGTATCTCATTTTAACTTACTAATATTTCTCTTCTACTAATTGACTATATCTAGTTTTATTCCTATAGTAGTTGATATTGTATTGCTATAAGATACAAGAGCTCGTTAAGAAGAAGCTTCTTGTATTCCGCTCGAAATCCTTTGGACCATTGGAACCATTTGAACCATTTGTTCTACTCAATTAGTTCAGCGTGGAATTTTTGAAAATGGTTGAAATCACGCCTTTAGAATCCAAAATAATTAGACAGATTGAAGTAATTCAGGTCAATTCCTTATTTTTTAATTATTTTAGTATTACTTTGGAGATGTAAATCTTTCACGTGACAAGTTCATGAAAGAAGCTGTTAAAGAGAATGATGGATGTGAGATATATATTTGACTAAGATCATTATTTCATTCTCTTAGGGATTTCTATGGACACAATGATGAAATTTAACCGTCTCAAGTCCCTATCAGAGGATGCTGAGTTCATAAAAAAGTCGATATCTAAGTCACAATCTGGGTTAATTGAAGTTGGCGAAAAAGGTCTTCGAAGAAACCCTGAGATGAAAGTTCCTGAAACATTTCAAACAGCTCTTGACAGCTATAAAGAAAACGGTGTTTATGTTAAAGGCTTCTCTCCTGACGAACATTTGGATGAAATTATTGAGTGGCTGGAAAAACACGGTGGCAAAACCCTCGATGTGCATATGCGCAGATTTCCACGAGACAAAAAGTTTAGGGTATTTTAAATTTCTGTCTTAAAATTCAATTTATAGGGAAGCATATTTGCTATTTTTGAGAAGAAAGAAGATTCCGAAAAATTTCTGGCTTCACCAGAGGCTGCTACTTTTAAAGATCATGTGATGATCCGTTCAACTCAGTAAGTTCAAATGACGTTAAAAATACATGAAGTAGTTTTGGCCCAAATTCTACATAAATGACTTTCAACCATAAAGCGAATAATTTTTAAAACATTTTGGGGCTAGATTTAACATTAACTGGTGTATTTTATAGTCATGAACTTGACGTATGTAGACTACAGTTGTGTATTTATAACAATCTCAACACAAAATAATTTATCTGGTAATTTTTCCAAATCCAAGGTACATAACAATTCGAAACGAGATGAAGAGAACAGTGATTTATAGGTAATAGTCGTACGTTTCGTAACACTCGAATGTCTGTGGGTTACTGGAGGCAAGAAAAACATTAAGCAAACCCCTCTGAGTTCTACTTAGCAATTAAAATCCAAGTGTCTTTTGAGAGCAACTAGAAAAGTCTTTTATTCTGCTGCTAAAAGCGAAATATCATTCGGTACTAAAATTCCATGTTTTTCCGACAGATAGAACTTTGGTTACAGTCTTGACTTCACACCCCTCACTTCAATCTGTTTCGTGAAATTTCTAGTGATCTCTTTCACATTGATTCTGAAGGTTAAAAGTCCATGCCACTGATGGTCTAGTTGTTTTTCATGAAGATTTACAACTTAGTGACAGTCACTAGTTGCTTTGTATCCTAATAAGCAAGCCAGTTTTAAAAAAGTATCCAGTCTCATGATATCATATTATGTTAACACTTGTGATCAAGAGTAATGACAATCTGTTTAAGGATTAATCAGGGTCTAGTTACCAAGAATATAACAGTCAATTTGACATCAAATAAGTAGCGTGGTTAACAATCTACGTAATTCGGTTGGCGCAACTTGATCATATCACTAGTCTTCACAATTTAAGTGTAGTTCAAAGCCTGATACATGCACTTGTGCTTTGTGAATTGAGTTACATTATGTACCATTAGTCTAAGCTGCATAGAAAACTGGTTTTTCGTTAAAATATACAGAAAAATGACATCCTTGTTCGGTAACTATTCCATGTTCAGAATCCATTGTAATATCCATAAGTATTTCATACAAATTTCACTGGGGTGTAAATTTTTGAGTGATCTATTTTTCTTTCAGTTTGTAGTAGCTTGATGCACTCAGTTAGTTTGACTTACCGATGATTAATTTTCAGCCTCCAAACTTGAAGTTTTACAGTATTTTCGCGAAAGTTAATACACCAATCAAACATTTTTGATTGTCTTCTACCACTTCAAATTCATATTTAGAATTGATTATTGGAAACGGAAAGAAGAGGAGAACAAAACTAAGCTTGCTTCACAAGCTAAGAAGAAAGCTGCAATTGAAGCTAATCAAGAGGCTCAACTTAATTCTCGAATGATCCGTGGGGCATTACTTGAAATTACTGGCCTTCCAGAAGCCATAAAAAGTAACTGTCTGTTTGTTCTACCCTTATCAATTCACTTAACACACGCAACTGTTCTATATTTATTTTTAAATATTTATTGAAACCAGTAAAACTAAGCGTTAAACCAGATTTTAAAAATTTCAAGTTCTTGCAGAATGATCTCAAAAGGTGAAAATGTGTTCTCAACTTTAAAAACAGTGCTGAATTTTTCTTAAGTTTATTAGTATGATTGTTTATTCTAAATCTAATAATCAGCCTTAAGAATTTTTACACCCTGCATGCAAATCTAATCAACATCTTCAGCAAAAGCGGTAACATACTAACCGTCTTGAGTTAATCTATCAGAATCGTGGTAACGCCGTATACATTTTGCACGAAATTTTAAGTTCATCGATAGATAACCTGTATGTTATTATATTAACGAAGTAACAATTGACAATATATGGTCTTGAAAAATGCTTCAAATCTATAGAACTTACCATTATGAAACTGGAAAGTCAATTTAGAATGATGCCTAAACTAAATTATCAAATATGAATCCCATCAAGTCGAATTGTATACTAAAATACTCGTTGTGATTCCATACGTTATCTAAAGTGTTGACTGTTTGCTCAATACCTTATCAGATATGATTTAAAATTAGTAATTAATGATCCTACTGTGGTAGAGTGGAGCTTCTGAACAAGTATTTTCTAAATGATCTGTATCTTTTACTTACGCCTGCTGCCCCCCCCCCCCACTGGAGCATAGACCGCCACCCAATGTTCTCCAGCCAACTCTATCCTGGGCTTCCCTTTCCATTTCTGTCCAGTTGTTGTTCATTCTTCTGTTTGTTTCCATTACTCGGCGTAATGTGTTCCTAGACCTTCCTCTCTTCCTTTGTCCATGAGGGTTCCAAGTGAGGGTTTGTCAATCTTCTGTGTGATGGCTTTCTCTTGACATTTGTATTGAAAATTCTGACTTTAGTGTTGGTTGATAGTTGTTTTGAGTTTCAGACGTTTATTTTTAGAAATGTTCCCCTTACAGATTTTCTGGAAACGTTAATCAGAAAATCCTTATCTTTTATTAATAATTATTACTCATTTATCTATTGGTGGTGATGTGACAGTGTTGCAGTCGTACTTTGTACAAAGCATTTTTTTTACAGTCTTTTTCTATATATAGAACCTCATTTCTCAGCACAAACTTCAAGTATAAGTAATGTTCAGTTTGGTGGCCAACGAAAACACTTCTCTAATAAGAAAAGATGAGGTTTTTCAAAGTTATTAGTGTTGTTATCATGTTTAAATATTATTAATTATCATTACAAATCACAGTTTTGGGCAGAATATTGACACTGATTGTTCTCTTTTTTTTTAAAAAAAAATTAGAAAATAATGCCGTTGAAGGAGAAGATGCTAAAACTGAGGAATCAAAAGAGTCAACAACCAACAATGGCCATCATGATTCGGAGCCACCAACGGTGATAATGTTAAAACAATGGTTAAACGAAAAGGTACGATGATGTAGTTGGTTTTTATTTTAAATGATAACTGTATTTCATGACTGTTTTTCTTCAAAAGAATTCAGTCAGTCAGATGCAACGTAGAACTTTGTACGTAAGTACGTACATCAGTTCATGTTGCCATACCTTATCAGCACAGAGATATAATCGTCAATTCAAATCCAATAGTAGAAGAGGTAGTTAAGGTATTAGAAGTAATTGGAGAGGTTAGAATTATAAGATATTATTCAAGAAGTATGATTCAATGAGAAAAGTTTAGAAAGTCAAAACTAGAGGTGTTGAAGAATTCAGCAGATTAGGATTTGAGAGAACACAAAGAATAAATGCACCGGCGCCATTGCGAACGCTTCTGAGCCAGGTCATTCAGGGTCTCGCTTACCATCGATTATTATCATCTCGCGGACCCCAACCAGGTAGTTCGCAACTACTGACATGACTCAGTCCACTTGTCAATGACTTCATGGATTTCAGCCATGTTTTGGTTTGGCCGCCCCTAGCTTTCTTTCAATCTACTCCTACACCACAAAACATAGCTTGTCGAGGCAGTCGGTGGTTAGCCATACGTAACACATGTCTCAACCACCTCAACTAATGAAGTTTCATAACTTCATCTATTGATCTGCCATTCTTACCTAGCACCCGATTCCTAATAACAGCGTTGCTCACTCTAGTGTCCCAGGATATACGAGCAATGCTTCGAAGACACCTATGATCGAAAACCAGTAACCTACGAATAACTTCTACTCTCACTGGCCATGTTTCATAGCCATAAAGTAAGACGAAGCAAAAGAATTAAATTTTGTTTTTGATTTGCAATTGTTTCATTCACTTTCCCTCTCTTTTTTTGAAATCATTATTTCATAGCTTGATTCAACTACACCTGTCGGATGGATTGATATTGAACCAGCTGAGGGCAAAGCTGTGATACGATTCAAACAACCTGATACAGCAGAGAAAGCATGGGCTAAATTAAAAGAAGCATTTGGTGATAGTCCAGTTACTTATTTAAATAGTGAATTATCAAGTCGCTTGATTACTGGTAAGCATTTTTTTCTTGGTGGATAGAATTAACACCTTTTTGCCTACTGTGTTCTGCATGTTTTTTTTACTTAAAAGCAGTTGACTTTTGTTTGGGAATACGATGAATTTGTGTAGCTAGTAGTAGTTAGTTGGCACTCAAAATTTGTTAAATATCGTATCGAATAAAATAACTTTTCTGTGCGCATTTTTCATGTCGTTTGATTTGTGTTATGAACTTACTGGATGATGACATAACTGATTTTTATGACTAAATGATCAAAGTATCACAATCAAAGGTGATTTTTGCGCATTTCAAAAACTACCAAATTACGTAGTGATAATCTTCTACAAGAAATCATGTGAACAAAATAAAATCTAGAGCTGGTCTTGGCTACACTACCATTAGAGAAACATGAAAACAGTGGGCAACCGTATTGTCTTAGTGTAGGATTCGTCAGAAGTGCCAATCCGCAACCTGCGCACGCGGCAATCAAATCCAGAACCAGTTCGTTATTTCAACTATGGAAATGATACAATCTCCACAAATCCATTTCGCTACCTTCCACGGTGTGGGCAGCCGGGAAGTGATAACCGCCCTCATACCCGCAACAGCACACGAGACAAAATTGTTCAAAATCAAATCCTTCCTACATTCCCTAATACCTCTCTTACCTCCACAACTAACTCTTCTCACATTCATTTATTACAGAGCACAGCTAATGCAAACGATGCGAGTTTGCGAAACGTCGTTCCTGGTCTCCTTAAACCCCGTTCCAAACTACATGTTGGAGCATTCAATGTACGGACATTGTGTCAAATAGGGCAACAGGCATCATTAGCTAGGACTTTAGAATCTCGTTCCATCGATGTGTGCTGCGTCTCGGAAACGCGCATACAGGATCCGAGTAGCATCACTCATTTGACCTCACCATCTCAAGATAAAGAAGCAGCTCGATTTACCCTTCGTGTATCCGGTAGCCCTGATGCTGCTTCTAGGGGCCTCGCCGGTGTAGGTATAGCATTGAGTCGTAGGGCAGAACAATCTCTCCTTGACTGGATCCCTGTAGATAGTCGCTTGTGCGCCGTCCGACTGAACGGGACAGTAAGGACTCGGAAAGATAGGGACACTCGCCGTTGCCTCTTCGTCATATCAGCCTACGCCCCCACTGACTGCAGCCCAGATGATGTAAAAGATGAGTTTTACAGAAAGCTTTCGGACCTCCTCCAAAAAGTTAAGCGCTCTGATATAGTTATAATGGCTGGTGACTTCAATGCACAAGTAGGTAGACTAAGTGAAAATGAAAGACACCTAGGTGGATGTTACGGTCTCGCGGCTCAAAGAACAGACAATGGCGACCGTCTGTTGCAACTGTGCTCAGATAACCAACTATTTCTAGCAAACACTAATTTTAAGCATAAGGAAAAACACCTTTTGACCTGGCGACCCCCGAAGTCGTCTCAACGTTGGACACAACTAGATCATATCGCCATCAGCCACCGATGGAGGGGTTCGATAGAGGACTGTCGCTCGTTCTGGGGCACATGTTTAGATTCAGATCATGCCCTAGTGCGAGCACGTATTTGTTTGAGGCTTGCTGGACGTAGGAAAGACACCGTAAGGAAGCCTCTTAGGGCTTTACTTGATGATAATCAAGCTAAGAAAATATTTCAGTAGGAACTAGAAAAACAGTTAGGCGACCATGCAAGTGATTCCCATCCGGAGTCAGGTTGGTATGATATCAAGAAGGCTGTGGAAACAGCAGTGATATCTGCTAGCAAGGTAAACCATAAGGCTAGGATGAAGCAGTGGATTTCAGTCGCATCCACCGAACTGATGGATGCACGAAAACGCATCCCACCTGACTCTGAACATGATGAAGAGCGTAGTCAGCTTAGGCGCAGACTTATAAAAAGCCTACGTAACGACCGTGAACAGTGGTGGGTGGCGAAAGCAAAAGCGATGGAAAAGGCAGCGGCGATCGGTAACACTAGACAACTTTTCCGCCTTATCAAAGAAACCGGTATTAGGAACCCGAATGTGAGTGAGACTATCTCGGAAAAGGATGGTCTTATTATCCATTCTCAATCTAGGAGGCTGGACCGATGGGCAGAACACTTTAGGGATCAGTTCAACTGGCCTTCAGCCACTCTTCGGTTGCCCACGATCTCCAGTTATCCTGAATGGCAAATCGATTTAAGTCCTCCCAGTTTACATGAAGTTGAGAAAGCTATAGGAAATCTAAAGGTAGGTAGAGCGGCAGGTCCCGACAGGCTTACCCCTGAGATGTTTAAGGATGGTGGTCCAGTTTTAACGGTTAAACTGACCGAGATCCTAGGTAGAATCTGGGAACTGGACCTAATCCCATCTGACTGGTCTCAGTCGCTAATTGTCCCAATCTACAAGAAAGGACAGAAGTCCTCTTGTGACAATCACAGGGGAATAAGTTTAACTAATATAGTTTCTAAATTGTTAGCCTCGATTATACTTAGACGTCTAACTAGAGCTCGCGAAGAGCAGACTCGAGAAAACCAATCTGGTTTTCGACCTGGACGTGGTTGTATAGACCACATCTCCACACTACGACAGGTCCTGGAACACAGACACACATTTAGACAACCGACAATAGTCGTGTTCCTGGACCTTAAGGCGGCATTCGACTCAGTGGATCGTGAGGTTCTATGCCAGTGTCTGTCATTGAAAGGTGTACCAAAGAAGTACATTAACCTTATACAAGCACTCTACTCGAACACCACTGGTCGGGTGAGAGCATATGGCGAACTGTCATCTGAATTCTCTACATCGAGTGGTGTCCGTCAGGGCTGTCCACTCTCTCCATTCTTGTTCAACTTTGTCGTAGACATCCTCTTAGAGTTAACATTAAGCTCGTCAGATTTTTCAGGGGTTGACCTTCTACCAGGAAAGTCGCTTACTGATCTAGAATATGCCGATGACATAGTTCTATTCGGTGAAGACGCTGACAAAATGCAGAGTCTTCTGACTACCATAAGCAACAATGCGAGCATGTTCGGGATGCGGTTTTCCCCCTCGAAATGCAAAATGTTGCTTCAAGACTGGGTTGCTTCGGCACCTGAACTAGTGATAGGGAGTGAAGTAGTCGAGCGGGTAGATCACTTCACTTATCTTGGGAGTCTCATCAGTGCTGACGGTCTGGTGACTGACGAAATCTCAGCTCGGATACAGAAGGCTCGATTAACTTTTGCCAACCTGCGTCACTTATGGCGTAGGCGTGATATCCGTTCGCTAACCAAAGGGCGGGTGTACTGCGCATCAGTTCGTTCCGTTCTCTTATATGGCTGTGAAACATGGCCGTTAAGAGTAGAAGATGTTCGTAGGTTACTAGTATTCGATCATAGATGTTTAAGAAGCATTGCTCGTATATCGTGGGACAGCCGAGTAAGCAATGCTGTCGTTAGGAAACGAGTACTAGGTAAGGATGGCAGATCAATCGATGAAGTGGTGAAACTCCATCAGTTGAGGTGGTTGGGACATGTGTTACGTATGCCTAACCACCGACTGCCTCGACGAGCTATGTTTTGTGGTGTAGGAGTAGGTTGGAAGAAAGCTAGGGGCGGCCAGACCAAAACATTGCAGAAATCCATGAAGTCACTGACAAGTGGACTGAGTCATGTTGGTAGATGTAGACTACCTGGTTGGGGTCCGCGAGACGAAAGTCATCAATGGTTAGAGACCTTGAACGACATGGCTCAAAATCGTTTGCAATGGCGCAGGTGCATCCACTCTTTGAGCTCTCTCAAATCCTAATCTTCTGGAATCGTTAGCACATCTACCTTTGTCTTTCTAACCTTATCTCACTGAATTATATTTTTTGAATAATATCTTAAACCCTAGTCTTCTTTATTACAACATTATTACCTCCACTATCTTTATCACTATGGGATTTGATTTGACATTTGCGTCTCTGTGCTAATAATGTGGTATGGCAACATGAACTTATGTACATACGTACGAAGTTCTACGTTGCAACTGACTGACTGAATCCATTTCGCTAACAAACAAAATGAATTATAAACTCATGTTAATGATTACATTGAATCAGTGTGACCAATTCAAACTGTGCGCTTTTAAACTTAATCTAGTCATTGATTTTCAACCAAGTAAGTTCAGATGTATTCTTCCACACAATGAAATAGTTTTTTGAGAGTTAGCTAGTGTACTTTGCTATGCAGAAGACGTTTTCCTGGGCTGGAATGAGGTTTCATTGTTTGAAACTATTGTAAGAATAATTCCCTCCCCCTGTTTGTAAGATTGTCTAAGTTATTAATATTTCACTAATGAGATTCTTTGAAACTATGAACCGATCAATGTTGGACTACCACTAGTATGGGACTCTCCCATACTAAGACAAAATGGCTGTCCAATACTTCCAGGATTTCAGCGATAATCTAACAATGTTTGGTTAATAAATTCAATGAAATAATCCCACAATCTTCTCAACCTTTATACTGAAAATAACGGGATTCTTGCTGTTTTTTGTATTCCTTGCAATGAAATAAGACGCATGCGTTGTAGATAAATAATTTTTTGATTACATGGACACACTTAGAGTGGATTGTTTGTTCATTCAATGTAATTCATCGCCTAACACACTCCTCACCTGGTGTTGTGGTTTTTCATAGGTGACGAAGAGAAAGATCGATGGAAAGTGATTCTAGCAGCTCAACAACAGAAAGCTCAAAAAAGACGTGGACGTGCTGTAAGTCAAATTCACATTCATTGATACTTTTATCGCTACTTTACTGTCAATGACTTGTCATTTTTTTCGTAACCAATAATAATTATCTATATGTGAAGTGTTATTGTCCACAGCTAGCCACAATCTATCTATTGGCAATCATTTTAGGAATGGTTTTCAGAGTATTCACCTGCGACTGGAAGCAAGAGGCTCAGCAGTTAGAGGACAACTTTTAGTTAGTAAGTCACAGGTTAGAATGCCGCTTCACATACTTAAGGAATATTTGCAACTCAGCTTGAAGCTTACACTTTAAGAGCTAATGATACTATGTGATTTATTACGCACGGCGCAGTTAGACAGGATTTCGTAACTAACGATTTAGTGACTGAAAGGTAAACACTTGAACCACTAGGTCGCTGCTGCTCTACCTTTGGTTTAATGAAGCTGTGTATGACTCGAAAATTCGGGATGTTAGAGTTCAGTTAGTTAGTTAGCTGCAACGTAGAACTACTTCGTACGTATGTACGTACATCACAGTTCATGTTGCCATACCACATTAACACACAGAGACGCAAATGTCAAATCAAATCCCATAGTGATAAAAATAGTTTGAATAATATTATTATAGAAGTATAATTCAGTGAGATAAGTTAAGAAAGACAAAGATAGAGGTGCTGATGATTCCAGAAGATTAGGATTTGAGAGAGCACAAAGAATGGATGCACTTGCGCCATTGCAAACGATTTTGAGCCATGTCGTTCAAGGTCTCTAACCATTAGTGACTATCGTCTCGTGGACCACAACCAAGTAGTCTACATCTACCAACATGACTCAGTCCACTTGTCAGTGACTTCATGGATTTGTGCCATGTTTTGGTCTGGCCACCCCTAACTTTCTTCCAACCTACTCCTACACTGCAAAACATAGCTCGTCGAGGCAGTCGGTGTTTAGCCATACGTAACACATGTCCCAACCACCTCAACTGATGAAGTTTCACAACTTCATCTATTGATCTGCCATTCTTACCTAGTACTCGTTTCCTAACGATAGCATTGCTTACTCGGTTGTCCCATGATACTCGAGCAGTACTTTGGAGACACCTATGATCGAAGACAAGTAACCTACGTATATCTTCTACTCTTACTGGCCACGTTTCGCTGAGATTTCGTCAGTCACCACCAGGCTATCATCACTGATGAGACTTATTCAGGCAAAATTAAAATCTCTTCTAAAATAAGCAGTATATGTACTAACTGATACTCAAGCCAGTCAGTCAGTTGCAACGTAGAACTTCGTACGTAAGTACATCAGTTCATGTCGCCATACCACATCAGCACAGAGATATAATTGTCAATTCAAATCCAATAGTAGAAGAGGTAGTAGAGGTATTAGAAGTAATCGGAGAGGTTACGATTAGAAGTATGATTCAATGAGATAAGTTTAGAAAGTAAAAACTAGAGGTGTTGAAGAATCCAGAAGATTAGGATTTGAGAGAACACAAAGAATAAATGAGAACAACACATATAAGCGAACAATATTGTTTTCGATTAGATCGTCATCAGGCTTTACTCTAATATACATGAATATTTATATGAAAATGTTAAACCAATCAAGGCAATTTGAGTGATAATCACAATGAAATATAAATATATATATATATATATATATATATATAAATATTCATGTATATTAGAGTAAAGCCTGATGACGATCTAATCGAAAACAATATTGTTCGCTTATATGTGTTGTTCTAATTTTCACAATGGGAATATTCAATACTCTTAAAGAATAAATGCACTTGCGCCATTGCAAACGATTTTGAGCCATGTCATTCAAGGTCTCTAGCCATCGATTATTATCATCTCGCGGACCCCAACCAGGTAGTCGACAATTACCGACATGGCTAAGTCCATTTGTCAATGACTTCATGGATTTGTGCCATGTTTTGGTCTGGCCACCCCTAACTTTCTTCCAACCTACTCCTACACTGTAAAACAAAGCTCGTTGAGGCAGTCGGTGGTTAGGCATACGCAACACGTGTCCCAACCACCTCAACTGATGAAGTTTCACAACTTCATCTATTGATCTGCCATTCTTATCTAGTACCCGTTTCCTAATAACAGCGTTGCTCACTCGGTTGTCCCACGATATACGAGCAATGCTTCGAAGACACCTATGATCGAAAACCAATAACCGACGAGTATCTTCTACTCTCATAGGACATGTTTCACAGCCATAAAGTAAGACGGAGCGAACCACTGCGCAGTACACTCGTCCTTTAGTCAGCAAACGTATATCTCGCCTGCGCCATAAGTGACGCAGGTTGGCAAAAGCCAATCGAGCCTTCTGTATCCGTGCCGAAATTTCGTCAGTCATCAGTCCATCAGCACTGATGAGACTCCGAAGATAAGTGAAGCGGTCTATACGTTCGACCACTTCACTCCCTATCACTAGATCAGGTGCCGATGCAACCCAATCTTGAAGCAACATTTTGCATTTCGAGGGCGAAAACCGCATCCCGAACATGCTTGCATTGTTGCTTAGGGTAGTCAGAAGACTGCATTTTGTCGGGATGTTAGACCTCTCTACTTAATAAGTAAGTCACATTATCACCCTTATAAAATAAGACTTGAGAAGTCAATATATAATTAGATGCTAAGCAGCGTTATGTAAATTTTATGGGGGATAAAAGTATGAGCTTAGATGTAGATAAAGTTTGATCCACATGGCAATCACATCCAATGGCTAGAGACTTTGAATAACATGACTTATTGGTGCCTATGCATCAATTTTCTGCCTTCCCTTTAAAATTCTGAACTTCAGAATTCCTTATTGACGTTTCTTCTTCCTTAAAAATTTATTTCACTGATTCATATTTTGTCGGATCTTATCTTCCTCAACTATCAACCTTTTCGATTAATTACTAATACTACTCTACTATCTTTACTTATGGTTGCCACTCATTTCCTGAATGCTGTAATATTGTCCAGACACTCAAAAGAATATAGATGGTTAATTTAGACTTGAAGATTATTGTTATGCAACCCAAACTAGTCCGCGAAATCAGATCAGAGTTTAACCATGTAGCCAGTTATATTCTAACAAGCCAAATTGAATGTGAAGGTATCATAGCAATAAAAACGTTAGTTTATCTATAAATTTTACATAAGAATATTCTCGAATTCCCCCCCCCCCCCAGATGTCTGCTGGTGCTGATTGCCTGACAATGCATTAATCCTGCATTGGACATGCTTCTATTCGCTTTGCTTCTTGCTGACATGAACACTTGTAATCTTTAGCGTTGTCTGATTCTTAGAGTTATGAGACATCATTAATGTATCTGACTATTGTCGGTGACCAATAATTTCTTTGGGATCTTAAGATTTATGTGTCAATGAGTCAGTTACAACGTGGAACTTCATACCAACGTACATCATTTCAAGTTGCCATGCCACATGCACAGGGAAAGATGAAATTGTAAGTTCGAATCTTATAGTAGTAGAGATAGTAGAAGTATTAGAAGTAATCAGCGAGGTTAGGGTCCTAAGATATTATTATTCGAGAAGTATATCTCAGTGAAGCAAATTTAAAAAGAGAAAGATGCAGGTCATGGGGAATTCAGAAGAATGCAAATGATTTTGCATTATGTTATTCAAAGTCTCTGACCATCAGTCACTGTACTCTCGAGGACCCTAACCAGGTAGTCTACACTTGGCTTAGTCCACTTATCAACAACTTCGTGGATTTGTGCCATGTTTTAGTTTAGCCGCCTGTATTTCATCGCCGGTCGAGGCAGTCGGTGGTTAGGCATACGTAACACATGTCCCAAACATCTCAACTGACTAAGAAGTTATGAAACTTTATCAGTTGAGGTGGTTGGGACATGTGTTACGTATGGCTAACCACCAACTGCCGCGACGAGCTATGTTTTGCAGTGTAGGAGTAGGTTGAAAGAAAGCTAAGGGCGGCCAAACCAAAACATGGCACAAATCCATGAAGTCACTGACAAGTGGACTGAGTCATGTTGGTAGATGTAGACTACCTGGTTGGGGTCCGCGAGACGAAAGTCATCAATGGTTAGAGACCTAGAATAATTACATGGCTCAGAATCGTTTGCAATGGCTTAGGTGCATCCACTCTTTGTGTTCTCCTATTCTAACCTTCTGCATTCCTCATCATCTCTATCTTTCTCCTTCTAAATTTACCTCACTGAATTATCCTTTTCGAATCATATCTTTGCTCCCTGATCTCCATTGCTGCTAATAATGGACTATCGCTATCACTGTTGGATTTGAAGTGACATTTGCATCTCTGTGCTGATGGAGCATGGCAACCTGAACTGATGTACTTATGAACAAAGTTCTGCGTAGTATGTATCTATCTGTCTGTGTCTGTATGTTCATATGAATTGTTTGTATCTATCAATGTCTAATTACTCTAATCATATTTTTATCCTGTTTTATTCTGTTTTGTATTTTAGGGTGGTAAACATATTAACAATAAACGACGTCGTACAAATTAGTACAAGTTGGAATAGATTTGTGCACCGTGGGTTGTTTTTACTACTACTACTAACAACAACAATAACAACTGCATCAGTTACTGTATATTCTATCAAAAAAAAAAAACAAGATATTGTTTTAACTATTTCATACACATTCATCAATAAATAAATCACATAAATGATGTAATCAACAACAAAAAAAAACAGAGATAGAGAGAGAGAAGACATTTGTCATTTTTTGCACAATAAGAAATAAATATGCATTTGTGGTTTTGTGGAAAAAATATCTTTTGCTTTTTTTTATCGGTTTTCTCTTTGTTTTTGGTCTTTTTAAACCTTGGATTTACTACATTTTTATTTTGTTACACTGATTGTGAGATGGTGGAGAAAACTTGTAGCTCAGGTGGATGATTGTGGTGGTGTTTCGTTCTCTGAGCTGGTTGTTTTGGTTGTGGAGCTTTCATTGTTCTTCATCTGAACAACATCATCAGCACAAACTTCAGATAGACTTCTATCTGTAATCTCCACAACCGAAACAACCAGCTCAGAGAACGAAACACCACCACAGTTACACTGATTGATGTTGGTATATCTATCAAAGTACAAACCAATTCATGGAGAAAGATAGTCACCATTAGGAGTTTATGACATTTTTATTTATTCGTTAAGGAATTCTTGTTTTGTTTTTTTCTAAAGTGTAATATTGCATGATCATTGTTGTTGATTCGTAGTAAGTAAGTAGGCAAGGCCTCAATTCAAACAACATGAGACCGTGACAGTTTAATAAGATTGAGCGCTACAGGTTGATTGATTTTTCTGTCTTATGAGTAGGAGGACTCAACAACAACAACAACAATTGAATTTACAACTGACTGTTGTAAATATCACGTCATATTCGTATTTAGAATACAATTATTGATCGATATTAGTTGTGAATTGTGCTGACGAGTATGTCTGTAGCTAATAGGTTTAGAGTTTTTCAAGCATGGATTTGAATCTGTTCTTCTCAGTTGTTGTGGTTTTTGCATGCGCGGAGTGTTTCTAAATTGAGGATACTATTAAAAAAATTTTGGGCTCTGATTCTGTAAACACATCGTAATTTTCATTACAGAGTTGTGGAGATTGTCGATGACTGTTAGACCACCATGAGAAACCTGGACGCACTGAATGATAGTTTCTTTCTAGTATGAGACTGGTCAGCAGTGCTTATCCACGATACCTGCACGTGAAAATTGAACCCAAGACCTTCGTCTCGTGCTTAACCTCTAGACCACTGAGCTAGCATCGAACGGTGTTAATGTCTGACTTCGAACTATCTACTATCTTCGGTGGGCGCTGATTCACACACGATAGGATTGAACTCAGCTGTCCACTTATCACTAGAGCTTGAAGAAACTTCTTCACGAATCTAGGAACAGCAGTCCTCTGCTTCCAAGTTTCTAATGGTAATCTAACATTGATCGATTGATGATTTCACCTTGGAAGTAGTTTTTATTGTTGGTCAAAGTTCATCAGCTGGCGAAGGGTCAATCAGTCATCAACAACATAGAACTGGATATGTACGTATATCATTTCAAGTTACCATACCACCTAAGCATAGAGGTATGAGAGTGCCCCAGTACAAATCCCATGGTGGTAGAGGTCGTAGCAATATTAGCGGTAATTGAAATGATTAAGGATCGCAGATACGATTCAAGAAGTTTTTCCCAGTCAAATAAATGTAAGAATTTAAAGAAAAGGTCATGAACAATTTAGAAGAGTAGAATTTCGGGAAAGACGAAGAATGGATGTATCTGCGCCATAGCAAGAGATTTTTAGTCATGTCATTCAAAATCTCTAACCACCTATTACGATTGTCTCTGTGGATGTAACTTATCGAAGTGCGTATTTCTACAATTAGAACACACTAAATATAAAATTAGTCAAGGAACCAGTCGTTTTGCTTACCCACCAGTGTTAATCTTCTATGGTCATTTTTGTTATTGAATGTGGTTGTTTATATTCATGTACCTTAAAGCATTTCATTTGTATGCTCATGTACACAATAATTGATAAACTTGTTTATTTATTTACAGATGGTCCGTCGATCCTCTTATGTAAATCGTGATTGTAAAACTAATAAATCCAACGGAAATGAAATAGTTCCTGTCTGTGAGTCTCGTGGAACTCATGTAACATTAAGACGTAGACCAACTAATTCCAATCGATCTTATTACAATCCATGTGAACGTCGTCGTCGTTTACAAACAATGATTCGTGAGATCTACAATCGTATACGATGTGCTAATTTAACATCAAAATGGAATCATGTCTTTGAATTAATGTCAAAAAATCGTCGTCTATTAAACGATCAATTGAATTCTGCTCATGCTGCAAATCTTGCAGCTAGATCTATCACCTGCGATGAAATGTTATGCCTTAATCGAAATTCGACCGATCCACCTTTATTAGCTGAACCAGTAGAAATTCCTAATATCTATAGTCAATTTGGTAAATTTGAAGCTCGAATCGGTGGAAAATCTTATCGTGTTGCTATTACAATGATGCCACAAGTTGATCCTGTCCCTTCAGTATGTATGTGGGCACCGGTTCAGCATAATTTCTCTGTTGAAGATGAAACTGAACTGGCTAATCTACCTTATATGGGTGATGATCAAGCTCAAGAAGATGTGAATTTTCTAGAAGAATTATTAAATAATTATGATGGTCATTTACATGGGAATTTTCCATTTGAATTTGAAGAATCACTACTTGTACAATTAGTCAATGAAGTTGCTAAAGTATGGCCAGATATTATTACACAATGTGGATTAACAGCATTTGTGAATCAAGATAGTGTTGAACAACCATCGAAATCGAAACCGCTACTGCCACCACCACCAACACAAAAACAACTATCAATTGATTTATTACAAAATCCAATAAAAATTGATTTATCCGCTGCTGGGGATGCTGATCAATTATCAATATCGTCATCATCCTCATCCTCATCGTCGTTGTCAAGAGCAGTTCATTCTAATTGTAAATCAAATGAACGTGTCTTGAAACGATTGAAACCAGATGATGATCACGATGGAAATAGCGGTGATGAAGTGTTGTCAGCTGTTGTTAAAAAAGGTCGTTTCACACGACGTTCTACATTAATTGAAATTAAAGATGTTGAAGTAAGTTTGTTTCGATTTTTATTTTAGGCATTGTATGAAATGACTGGACTGTTTGTCTAGCTAACTGATGATGATGACTTAGGGATTAAGGCAACCAATTTTCAGCTATAGTTGATCTCCTAGTCAAATTGCTCGACCATAGCTGCTACTTTGTCGTAGTGGTCTGGCTTGCCTATCATGATGACCCAAAAGAGCTATATTGGCTGGAATATATATTCCTGTAGGTCCTGCCATGCCAGGCAGGTCGATTGGAGAACGATGAGACTAAAAGCATCTACTCAAGGTCTGAGGGTGAAGTCGTACTGCTTACTGCAGAGGGATGTGGCAGCAGTGAGGTGTTTCGCTTGGACAACCAGTATCTGCAGCGATGCTACATTCTGACAAGGAAGGAAGGGGTTGGAAAAGGTCGACCCTAAAAAATGACTCACCTTACCCTACCAGATGGACTTCCGTCTGCGGCAGTAAGACCTTTTAAACAAGAGCGGAGCTAATCCTCAAAAAGCCTTTCATAAAAAGGCCGTGTGTGACCGGCCTCCAAGTAGTTGTCCCTTGGGCTCAGCTGTTTTGATGTTAACCACAGCTGGATAGTATCATACACATTCAATGTAATTTAGATCGAAATACATAATTCTGTACTTGATAAATGCCTGCGAATCTTCAATACTTTTATCAAATATGTTTATCTTTATGCACATAATGAGCTCCACAATCCAAAGAAAACGAGTGGCGTATAAACCTTATTGGTGTTTTTTATCAGCTTCCATGGAACTGGTCATCGACTGGATTATGAAAACGTCAACATCTGGAGGGAAGCACGGTATCAACTGGACAGTTAGGATGCAGCTGGATGATCTGGACTTCGCAGATGACCTGGCTCTTCTATCGCACACGCAACAACAAATGCAAGAGAAGACGACCAGTGTAGCAGCAGCCTCTGCAGCAGTAGGTCTCAACATACATAAAAGAAAAAGCAAAATTCTCCGATGCAACATGACATGCACCAACCAAATCACTCTTGATGGAGATACCTTGGAGGACGTTAACAACTTTACATATCTTGGCAGCATCATCGACGAGAAAGGTGGATCGGATGCAGATGTGAGGGCACGGATTGGCAAAGCAAGGGCTGCATTTCTACAGTTGAAAAATATCTGCAACTCCAAACAACTTTCAAACAAAACCAAAATCAGGATTTTCAATACAAATGTGTAGACAGTTCTACTGTATGGAGCGGAAACATGGAGAACTACGAAAGCCATCATCCAGAAGATACAAGTGTTTATTAACAGTTGTCTACGCAAAATACTTTGTATTCGTTGGCCAGACACCATCAGCAACAACGAACTGTGGGAGAGAACAAACCAGATTCCATTGGAGGAGCAAATCAGGAAGGAACGGTGGAAGTGGATAGGACACACACTACGAAAAGCACCTAACTGCGTCACGAGACAAGCCCTCACATGGAACCCTGAAGGCAAAAGGAAAAGAGGAAGGCCAAGGAACACACTACGCCGAGAAATAGAGAAAGATATAAGAGGAATGAACAAACATTGGACTGAACTGGAGAGGGAAGCCCATGACAGAGTTGGTTGGAGAAAACTGGTGTGCGGCCTATGCTCCATTGGGGGTAACAGGCGTAAGTAAGTAAATAAGTAATGGAACTGCATCTCCTGACGTTGATTCATTGTCTTGCTTGAATTTCTCAGTATCAACAGATGATCTTAGGTGTTGATATTCTTTAGTGTATATAAGAGAAATAATCAAATCATAACATCAATCTCTTCTTTTCTTTTCTTTTTTTTTCAGGTAAAAATCAGTAATAGTATTATACCGCCTAATATCAGTGTTAATCTCCCGGAATTCACTAATAATGTTGATGATAATGAAGATGATGATGATGACGATGATGATGATGATAAGGCATTGATTCATGTCCCGAAAAAGTTGAAAATTGAACAAAATGGTGATGCTGCTGCTGCTGATGATGATGATGATGATAGTCATAATGAAGCAATCAAATGTTCACTCATCGCCTCCAAACACCAATCTCCAAAACTACGAAATTCTCATTCATCATCACATCATAGCGATCATCATTCGCCTTCTTCAGACTCTAAACGTCTTAGTAGTAGTAGCACTGGTATACCAGAAGGAGTATTCTCTGTAAGTGAAACTTGATTGCAGACAATTTGTTTGATATGTTTGTCCTAATTTGACATGTTCTTCTTTCTAAGATTAAAGTTGAATGCAGTAATTTCAATGTTTACTAAGTGTTCTGTAGCTGCAATTTTTTTTCTGTTCATTCAGTGAATTAATGAATGCCGCTCTTAAGAGTGTAATTTTCATCCTATGCTTGTGAAAATCAGCTTCTCGGAGTTGAGGATATTAAGCGACTTTCTCAGTTCGATCATTGTTGTCTGGACATTCTCTGGCAGCTCTGTATTAGTAATGCAGAGGTTCAGCAGCGTGTGTTTGTGCACAGAGACGATAACTCAATTGATGCCTTCATCATGAAACACCGACTTTAGTGGCTTGAATATGTACGACGAATGTCGTCTCGATGAATTCTACTGCGTGCATTATTTACTGATGTTGGGATTGGTTAAAAAAAGCAAAGAGGTGTTCAGTGTATGACATGGTATCGTGGTATGCAAGAAAGCTGTTCATGACTGACCTCTATTGGTCCTTCATGTCTCCCGTGGTTGAGGTCTTAGAGAAGGTGCAACCTAATTGCTCGAGACGTTTATCAGACATGACTGAGACGATCTTACTGTATTTAAGTCGATTCATTTCTATGTTGTATCACTATGATAGCGGAAACAGTTTACATGGCTTACTATCAAAGTGTGACTGGAAAAATGACTTAATCTTTATACAATCAGATAAGTCTTCGACTTTATACATTAACTTACACTACTTATGAATATTGTTAATAATTTTTTTTAATTTGACTTATTAAACATGTAATTTTCATGTAACAGTTAATTCCTCTGATCTGATTATTGTTGCCTACATACATAAACTAGGTGTAGACCACCAGCTGGTTGGAGTTGGCGATACAATTGTATCCACAGAGATCCCTTAGTAGTAGAGGTAGTAGAAATATTGGCAGTAATCAAAAGATTAGTGATCGAAAATATCATCCGAGAAGTATATCTCAGTAAAACAAATGTAACAAGAGAAAGATTAAGGTGACATGAGTTGAGAAGATTAGCATTTAAGGAGAAGCGCAAAAAGGGATACACCTGCTCTATTTCAAAAGATTTTGAGCCATGTCATTCAAATCCTCTAATCGTCAGTCACTATCGTCTCGCAGACCCCAACCAGGTAGCATTCATCTACCAACATGACTCACTCCACTTGTCATGGAATCGTGCCACATTTTGGTTTGGCCGGTCACACACGGCCTCCTTATGAGAAGTTTTTACAGTGTTAGCTTTGCTCTTCGAGTGACCTTACCGGCTTAGACGGAAATCAGTGGGGTAAGGTGAGGTGTGAGAAGGCGGCAGCGTCGCTGCAGATGCTGGTTGTCCCAGGGAAACACTTTACTGCTGTCATAGCCTCTACAGTAAGCAGTACGACTTCGCCCTCAGTCCTTGAGTAGCTACTTTTGGTCTCATCGTTCTCCAATCGACCTGCCTAACATTGTGGAACCTACAAGAGCGTATGTTCCAGCCAATATAGCTCGGTTGAGTCATCACGATAGGCAAGCCCTACCACCACGTGTCAAGGCAGCAGTTACGGTCGGGAAAGTCATGTGTACTACATGCTGCGCGCGTAATTAATTTATAAATGATAAAATATCAATCAACAATTCATAACTTCAGTGAAAGCTTACAACTAAGATAATTTTCGAAATACCATAAACCAGTGTTTCAATAAAATACACAATGACAAAAAAACATGCAAGATAATTACTTGTAGAATAGTTCTCGAATAATTCCAGCTTCTTTCCCGATTATTCACTGTATGAACGCTAATTAATGTGTTATTCATATTTGTTCAAGTCTGACTATCTTTCCTCCTTTGTAATCTTTATTATTATTATTAATATTATTATTACAAGTGTTCCAATAGGATTTCTTCTCTTTTTCCCTTCTATTCTTATTTATAGGCCATAGCTGGAACATTCGGTTCATCAGATGATACTAGTAAACTACAACTACGTTATACAGAATTGAAAGAACGTTCAAATAATTCACAAGTAAGTGATGATAATTGTCAAATTTTCCCATAGCTAATCTTAGCCAAAGCACTATTAGATATGCGTGTGTACGGTTTCGTCCTAGTGTGCTGTCTATCCACATCACCCGCAGGCGGAAATCGAACCTATGACCTTCGGTCTTGCGCGCCAACACTTAACCTCTAGACTACAAAGTAGTCCATTATCTTGAACAACTTTCATTCATTGCCAGTAGCAGATAACTGTCTCCTGCCCGGCACGATTTAGACTCTAATGGTCACCAGTGCGCACACCATTGTGAAAGTGAAGCGGATTTGTTGTTTTAACTTGTTATTATTACTACATATTTGTCTATTTATTTATAACATTTGCCAAGAATTGTTTCTTAAACTACCACTTTTGAAACTCTCAGGATTTCTGAACTCAAATTTATGATTTATTGATTTTAGTGCTCATGAAATGAGTTCGAATCTCGTACTGTTTACGACAGACTTTTTTTTTGCACATTCAACTTTGAATTATCATTTATTTGTTCATTGGTATCTTTAGACCAATGATGGTTAAATCAGTTTACCTTCCTGTAGTGAGGTGTTATCTGTTATGCTCGTCACTTGATATGCTTGAATGCCATTACGAGTTCACCTTAGTCGATAAACGAGAAAGAGACAATGACCCATTGATACGGCAGGCTACACTGATCCGTTGCCCCAACTAACTGAAGAAAAACTCTTGATATGGCGTAGAAAGTGTATTCTACAAACATTCAGCAAATATAATGAACTCAAACACACAAATCGCGTTTATTTATACGTCATAGAAACGTCCTTGGCGGAGTCACAGAAATAACTTGCCGAAATAACTCATCAGCCAATCACGGCCAAGGATTTTCCTGGTGGGAAATGTGATCTCAAGGTCAGCTGATCAGCCCACAAATAAAATCTGAAATTAAGACCTTTATCAAGCGAGTTCTGGGGATCTAACGTCCCCAACATATCATTCTTACAATTAAGTCACTTAACTAACTTAGTAAGTCACCTACAACGTAGAACTTCGTACGTAAATGTAGTAGAAGTGTTAGCAGTAATAGAGGGAAAGATAAAGGTGACGAGGAATTCACAAGATTAGAATTTGAGGGAAGACACAAACAATGAGTACACCTGCGCCATTGTAAACAATTTTGACCCCATACCTAACCAGCTGACATCAATATTTATATATTTTTGCTATTCTGTTCTTAACTTGTCATTGAAATTCTGTTATGCATGCAGATTAACACGTCAACTTGATATGCTTGAACTATTACAAGTTTACCTTAGTCGGAAAACGAGAGCGCGAGGATCGAGGATCCGGCGACACGACTTGCTACTCTAATCCCATTATCCCAAACCCCCATTGAGTAAGAGAAGAAGAAGACTTGATATGAAGTGGAACCTGTATTCTACAAACATCCAGAAAGTACTCGATCCGAGTCCAGAAGAGAATCATGATCCCGGACTAAGGATCCGGATCGAGGTCATAAAACGCTACACAGATAATGCGTATTTATACAGTTAGTTAGGTCGAATAGGAAACAACATTTGTAGTCACATTGATAGTCAGGATGACCAATAGGAATTTATGTACATACGTACGAAGTTCTGAGTTGCATCTGTCTGTCTGTCTGTCTGCCTGTCACTAGATTCTACTTCTTGAATAATATTGTCAAACCATAATCTCTTCGATTACTGCTAATACTTTTACTACTTCTGCTACTATAGGATTTGAATTGACAATCGAATCTCTGTACTAATGTGGTATGGCAACTTGAATTGATTGATGTACGTATGTACGAAGTTGTACGTTGTAACTGATTGACTGACTGATAGGAATTGACCCTATAGAATTAGACTCTTAGGATATTGGATGAATATCCTAACAGATTCCCTGCAATTTTATTTACTTTTTTTTCAAACAAGCTAAACGAAGAAGCATTAACATGTTGTCCAAATTTAGACAATCCTATTGAAGTTTTAAATGCTGTCAAAACTGGTCGACATCAAATTCCTACAAGAGCTGAAGCATTGCATTCATTTAGAACATTATTTTGTCGCCGATGCTTCAAATATGACTGTGCTCTACATCCGTATAAATCAACTCAATCTATGTGGAGTCATCGTTGGCCATTTATTGCTACAACTAATGTGGGTTAGTAGTAGTTTATGTTATTGTTTCTGATTGGTTTAAATTATATGTCAATCTAGTTAGTTGAGTTTTTATCGAATGTGTAAAGTTACAAGCTCTCGCAGCAAAGATGGTTAGTTTGTGTGTGTGTGTGTGTGTGTGTGTGTGTGTGTGTGTGTGATGTAATCTCAGTACAGATTCAGCCAACTCGATTCAATTTTACTGACTTGCGTTTACTTACGGGTGTTTTGGGGGAGAAATGCTTGTCTACCAGCCAATTAAAGGTTAAAGTATGATGATGAGCAGTAGTCTTACTTTGTAGCCCTTTTCTTAATAATAATAATAATATACTCTGAAAAGAATGATTACAGAATTCGTGCTGGTTACCCGATCGGAGCTGCCACGTTTTGGTTTGGCCGCTAAAACATGGCAGAAATCCAAGAAGTCACTGAGAACTACTGAACTGAGTCATGTTGGTAGGTGTATACTACCTGGGTTGGAGTACGCGAGAGACCTTGAACGACATGGCTCAAAATCATTTACAATGGCCCAGGTGCATCCACTTGTTGTGTTCTCCCAAACTGTAATCTTCTGAATTCCTCATCACCTCTATCTTTCTCTTTCTAAAGTTATCTCACTGAACTATGCTTCTTGAATAATATCTTCGAAGCCTAATCTTCTCCGTTACCACTAATTCTTCTACTATCTCTACAACTGTTGTATTTGAACTGACAGTTGTGTCTCTGTGCTAATGTGGTATGGCAACATGAACTTATGTACTCACGTGCGAAGTTCTATGTTGTAACTGACTGACTGACTCGTGCCGGTTCACAGGCACAATCAACTTGATATAGAAATGTTTAGTGCAGGGTATGGATAGATATGTCATGTTACATTGTTCTAAGTGTTCTAATTTGAAAATTATTTAGGTAGTATATATATATTTACATATATAACATTAGTGTATCTTGTCAGTCAGGAACTGTTAATTCTTTCTGACTAGACATCTTGTTGCTGTACGGATGTCTTTTCTAGTGCCATAACTCATTCGTTATAAACATCTACAATCAAAACACAGAGCACAGAAGAACGAAAGTATTAATCATTACGATTTATCAAGTTTACCATGATTCCGGCACAAGGTTATTTTAAGATTCAATGTTCGTGTAAAGTATCATCTGTAAGTAAGGTGGTTTTAACTAGTAGTCCCAGTAGTAAAACTAATAAATATTTAAGTTTCTTACAGTCTCTCATTTGTAGAATGGGATATACTTGTAGGTGTAAGTACATTTTAAGGCGCTTTCTGAGTAGTGTTAGGCGTCAATGCACCGAATGAAGGATAGGACTGAATTTTAAGGTAAATTACTTTAGAGTATCGAAAATTTACTGGTAAAATAATTCATACACACAGAGAGACGATTTAGAATGCGCTTGCATCATGAATAACAAAGGATTACCGAAGCTACAACTATGAGTAGTATCAGAATATCGAATCGCTTCATTGGATGTAAAATATACCTTATTATTTTGTGGAAAAAGATCAGTTTGAGCTTAAGTCTCCTCTTCCATCATAAAGCACTGAGCCCAAGTTCATTGCATCTCGATTTATAATTTTTAAAGTACAATCAGTCCCAAGAATGCATAGTGTAAAAATTGTCTATGAAGTGATTCCAGCCTTAATTTGTTCTTTATGCAAACACTTCTGAGAATAAACATGCAGTATTCCAGAAGTGATCGAACACAATTGTACATAAAAATACATTTTATTCATTCTTCTCATGTTTATCTTCATTTCTCAGCCTTCCGCTTTTCCTTTGACCTTGAGGATTCCAAGTGAGGACTTGTCTTGTGACGCAGTTAGTTGGGTGTGCATTCCTCAGTATGTGTCCTATTCACCTCCAACGCTTCTTCCTAGTTTGTTCTCTAGCTGGTTCAACCTGGTTTGTTCTCTCGCATAGTAGATTGTTGCTGATAGTGTTTGACCAACGGATTCGAAGTATTTTGCTTGGATTTATATCTAGTTAGTTGTTATCACTAGTAGTAATGTAGTGAACGAGAACACAGGTGGGGCAACCGAATTGTATTTAACGAATATTACAGAGTTACTCAGTAAAATCGGAAAACCATATCGTAAATTGTTAATTTGCAAAATATCAGTTCATCATATCGAACTGGACTGCTCCTGTTGCAAAACATCAATCCATTATCACTATTCATGCGTTTCATACAAATTCCATTGTGTTCCCCGCCCTTTCTTTCTTGATCTTCCCCCATCTTCTGCTGCGAGACATTACGTTGACACTCACGTCATATACTACTTATAAGTAGCTCGCACTACAGTAGTAGTAGTAGTCACATAAACTAAATTCGTATTGTATTATGGTATTTTTTATTTACAGAATCTGATGCTCCGCTGTGCGGTGTATGGTGTGTACGTCAATTCACTGATAAACAGCAACAGCATAATTCTAATATTAGCAATCGAATTCATGAAAAAGATTCTGAATGGAATCCAGTTGAAATTAGTTTATATCAAGTTTTAGCTCCAATGTATATACCATACGGTTATTCATCATATCATTTATATCATTGGTGTTGTACATTGTCAAATTTGATTGGTACAAAAAAATGTTCTGAGGTGAGTTTATATATCCCACTTTTGTTTAATTTCTATGATTTTTACAAAAATATTTCGAATGATGAATAGGTAACTGGGGAAATTATCGGATGACATGGGACCACGAGCACTTGTCATCAGCTTTATAGTATATATATAGCCATTGCTACGGTAGTCCTACTCACTAACTACCTTCTTGTGGCAGGGGTTGTTGCTTACGAAATTCCGAGGATCTGAGAGAGATGGAATACCCTGATCCCATTGTTAGGATATTTACCAAATATCCTAAGAATACTATTTTTGGAAGTATAATCCTATTGGTCGAAATAATGGTCGTTTTAACTGTCAAAGTCAAATAATTCAATGTTGTCTCTTATTGGTCATCCGGAATGTCAGTGCCATTCCAAATGTTCTTTCCTATTGGTCGTCCTAAACTGTCAATGTCACAGACTTTGATGCTCTTTCTTATTCGACCTTAATGTATAAATACGCACTATCTGTAGGACTCCATGATTCCGATTCCGTTTCTTCCTGCCTATCTCTCTTCTGTGCTCGATCCAATAAACAACTCCATCCCACGGTGTTGCGTTCTGATTTATAGGAGATTTGGAAATAGCATTTTGGGTCGTATTGGGATATTTGAATTGGACGCCACTAGGACTGAATAGCGATACGTAGCAGCGTTATAACACCCATACTCTAATAAGACACTTGAGCTCAAGGATAGTCAGGGATCAAATGTTGGATGCACTGCATGTCGTGGCATTGATCGATTGCCTTGTGAACTAGACCTGTTACTCGAAAGCCTAGATAGTGGCCTCCTAAGAAAACCACCTTCGATTTGAGTAGCCAGTCAGTATCTCAGACCATATACAAATGAAATGATTTGTATGGTGCATACATGATTAGGTGCTTCTTTGTACAAATGTTTATGTGTTTAAAATAAAGTGAAATTGCTGATAGCTGTGATGAAAATGTGTTAGAACCAATTCATTCGATGAAATGACGTCGTAACAAAAAGTTAAATTTTTCAAATAGAAATAAAAAGAAATTTTAAAAATTTTGTGTTTACTATTTTCTTTTAAAAATGTATCTTTGTTGCATTCCTACTTACTTTTTTACTTATGCCTGTTACCCCCCCCCTGATGGAGCATAAACCGCCGACCAGCATTCTCTGTCCTACTATGCCGTGCGTCTTCTTTTCCACTTCTATCCAATTGCTCCTCATTCTTTTCATATTTACTTTACTTCCGCCTGTTATCCCCGAACGGAGGAGCATAGGCTGCCGACCAATATTCTTTTCATATCTCTCTGCAATTCTTAGTGTAATGTGTTCTTTGACCGATTTGGTCTCGTGTGCTGTTACGGGTATGAGAGCGGTTAACACTTCCCGGCTGCCCACACCGTGGAAAATTGTTTCTTGAGGGACCTGAAAAGGAAGATAGATTAGCGTTGGTCTTGGAGACCTGGGTGCGTGACCGCAGAGCCCAAGGGACAACTGCTTGAGGCCGGTCACGCACGGCCTTTCTATGAAAGGTATTTTGAGGATTAGCTCCGTACATGCGTACGTACTTCTACGTTGTAACTGACTGAATGTGTTCTTTGATCTACTTCTTTGCCTTCAAAGTTGAGTATTCCAAATGAAGGCTTATCTTGTGATGCAGGTGTGGATGGTTTCTGCAATGTGTGCTGTATCTACGTTTTCTGGTTAATATTTTTTTAACAAGTTAATTTTCTACAGGATAGAGTCACTAACTCCCATCCCCAATCCTCCTCCTTTTATCCCGGCTTAAGAGCCAGCAGTAACCGCGGAGGGGTCCCAGACAGAGTTTTGTTGCTTTCTACTTCTACGTTCACTTTTTTTTAGCTTTGCGTCAGCCATTCATCTAATCAACATTGAGCTTTAGGGTAAATGTGAGTCGATTCAAGTTCCTAAAATACATCCTAACATCATAATCTATGTAGCGCTTAACTGATTACACATAATGATGTGTGTTATAATGCTGCCACTACGTAGCTATTCAAATCCTACCGACGTCCGAATTCCAATATTCCAATACGACCCAAATACTATTCCTAACTCTCTTATATATCAGAACGCAACACCGTTGGATGGAGTTGTGCATGGGGTCGAGTACAGACGAGATGTAGGCAGGAAGGAACGGAATCATGAAGTGAAGTCTTACAGATACTGCGTATTTATACATTTAGGTCGAATAGGAAAGAGTATTGAAGTCTGTGACATTGACAATTTAGGACGACCAATAGGAAAGAACATTTGAAATGAGATTGATAGTCCGGACGACCAATAAGAAATAACATTGGAGTACGTGACATTGATGTCTAGGACGATCATAAAATTAACCAGTAGGAATTAGCCAATAGGAATTGACCAATAATAATTCTCTTAGGATATTGGATAAAATATCCTAACAGTGTGTGACTTACTTATTGAGTGGCTTGTTTCACTAAGAATCTAAGTGCACTGTGTTTTAAAAAAATGTAATTAACATTCTATTTATTCTCATTCATTATAGGTCAACCAGTTTTTGTGATCATGCTAAGTGTAATCAGATTTTAGGTCATAGTCAGTAACAAAAAAATGTTACCAAGAAAAACTTCTGTACACCTCGTCGTATTGTTAGGATATTCGCCAAATATCCTAAGAACACTATTTTCGGAAGTATAATCCTATTGGTCAAAATTATGGCCGTTCTAACTGTCAAAGTCAAATACTTCAATGTTGTCTCTGATTGGTCATCCGGACTGTCAATATCATTTCAAATGTTCTTTCCTATTGGTCGTCGTCCTAAACTGTCAATGTCACAGACTTTGATGCTCTTTTTGCTATTCGACCTAAACGTATAAATATGTACTATCTGTAAGCCTTCATGATTCCGTTTCTTCCTGCCGACCTCTCTTCTGTGCTCGACCCAATCAACAGCTCCATCCAACGGTGTTGCGTTCTGTTATAATAGGAGATTTGGAAATAGCATTTTGGGTCGTACTGGGATATTTGAATTTGGACACCGCTAGGACTGAATAGCTATACGTCGCAGCATTATAACACGTATCTCAAATGCATGTTCCTACGTCTAAACACACTCCAAAATCAGTTCTCATTTAAAGTACCATAGCTCTGAAACAGAATAACAACTTCAAACTTCCATAGATATACCACACTGATTAGACTGTTCGTATTTTTTTTTTTAAAAGTCATTCAATCTTATTTATCTATTTATTTAGGTGCTTAACTATGCCAATACACAAAATCATTCCACACTTCTATTGTCAGATTCTGGCCAATTAAATCAACTACGTGTCCCTGGCACCGGTATTGAATGGTGTCGACGTTCCACTAGTACTGCATCATTAAATGATGCTGGAGATTGTAATGCTGCTGGTTCTGGTTCATGCAGTGGTAGTGTCCAGGATAATGGGGAATTCCATGAAGAAACGATCAATATCAATAATCATAATATTAATAATATTAATGAATCATCCGGTTATAATTTACTACCATCTTATAGGCGAAAACGTTCACGGAGGCGTCGATTAAAGAAGAGCATGTTATTAGGACCACCAACTCGTCGTTTAGGTAGGGGTGTTTTTGTTATTGTTTTATTTATTTGCATTGATCAATGTTAGACTAACATTAGGTAGGCGTTTTTGTTATGGTTTTATTGATTTGCATTAATCAGTGTTAGATTACAACTATTAGAAGCACTGAAAGACGACCGTTTCGTCCTAGTATGTGACTCATTAGCAATGCGCATCCAAGATATCCACCAGTGGGACTCGAACCCAGGGACTTCCGTCTCATGTACTAGACCACTGAGTCGGCATCCGACAGTGTTACTGTCTAACTTCGATCAATCCACAGTCTTGCGCAACCCGATTGATCGATTCCTGATTTCGATGAAACTCCATGATCTCCACATCTTTATGATGAATATTTATATTACACATTTTTGAAACCATGAATTGATCAATGTTAAACCACCATTAGAAACCTGGAAGCACTGGACGGCCGTTTCGTCCTGGTATGGGACTCCTCAGCAATGCGCATCCACGAATACTGCACCCCGCAGGATTCGAACCCAGGACCTCCGGTATTGTGCGCGAACGCCCTAACCGTTAGACCAGGACGAAACGGCCGTCCAGTGCTTCCAGGTTTCTAATGGTGGTCTAACATTGATCAATTCATGGTTTCAAAAATGTGTAACTTAACAATTTTCACAACCCCGTAATGCGAATATTTATATCCAGTTAAATATCACAACTTCATGTATTCACTAGTCCTATTTGTCGCAATATAACCTTACTTGGTACATGCTTGAGCATTCTTTACAGGATTTAAACATCTTGGTGAAATTGTGAATGCGCACTGCTGTCCAATGTTCATTCTTTGACTGTTGATACGACAATAACAGAGATAAATACAATTCTATAAACACTTCTAAAACTCTGCATCAATCTAAATAATTCATTTGCTTACTTATGCCGGTTACTCCTAGTGGAGCATAGACCATTGACCAGCATTCTCCAATCTGCTCTTTTCATCCTGGGCCTTCCTTTCTAGTTCGGTCCAATTATTGTTCATTTTCCTCATGTCTGTCTCCATTTCTTGGCGTAATGTGTTTTCTAGTCTTCCTCTTTTCTTATGGCCTTGAAAGTTGCAAAATCAGGGCTTATCTTGTGACTCAGTTGGGTGATTTTCTCAATGTGTGTCCGATCCAGCGCTTCTTACTGATTTTTTCTTCCGCTTGAGGGATCTGGTTTGTTCTCGCCCACAGTAGGTCGTTGTTGATGGTGTCTGGCCAACGAATCCGAAGTAATTTGTGTAGACGACTGTTAATGAATACTTGTATCTTTTGGATGATAGCTTTCGTGTTTCTCCAATTTCCCGCCCCATCCAGTAGAACTGTCTTGATAATTTGCATTGAAAATTGTGACTTCGGTTTTTTCAATAGTTGTTTTGTGTTGCAGATGTCGTTCAATTGTAGAAATGCAGCCTTTGCTTCATCAGTCTGCGCATTCAAATCTGCATCAAATCTGTCTTGCTCATGAATGATGCTGTTCAGCTATGTAACGGTTTCCACATCTTCCAACGCTTCATCGTCAAGTGTGATTTGGTTTGTGCATCTTGAGTTGTATCGGAGAATTTCGCTTTTCCCTTTATGTATGTTTAGACCCACCGATTCTGAGGTTGATGCTGCTACACTATTCGTCTTCTTTTGCATTTGTTTTTGCGTGTGGGTCAGAAAAGCCAGATCATCTACGAAGTCTACATCGTCCTGCTGCGTCATACTTGCCAACTGTATCATGTTGACGTCTTCTTGCTCTAATCGATCACTAGGAGGCATAGAAAAGATGAGGGTAAGCAACCCTGGTCCGGTCTTTACTTCGAACGAGACTGTCAGCTGTCCTCCGTGCCTGATTTTGTTTCTGTTGGTATAGACATTTGTATTTGCTTAGTGTAGATTATTTTTCGCCTCTTTTTTTTTTTTCTTCTCTATTGTTATAGATGATGATGAAGATTCACAAACCAACGGATCATCATCACATCAGACCACTTCAAATGGTAATACAAATGGTGTTGTCGCCAGTGGTTGTTTTGCTCATCATTATCATCCATGTGATCATCCTGGACAACGTTGTGATGATTCTTGTTCATGTCGAATAGCTGGAACATTTTGTGAGAAGTTTTGTCAATGTCCTCCAGATTGTCCTAATAGGTATATGAACAAATAGTTACTGAATTGTTTTTTAATCACAATTCAGGGTGTTTTATTTTCATAGCTTAAACACACGAACATTAGTACAGAGGGGCACCTACTTATTATATATGCATCATTACACCAGTTGAATTTGTGAGTAAACTGAGAAGCTGCTCAGATGCTCAAATCGAAGGTAGTTTTCTTTACGGGGTCACTTTCCGAGCCGTTGGTCAACAAGTTTATTCCACAAAACAGTGAATCGACGTCAGGTAAATGCAGTTCCATGGTAACGGGTGTGCAGCAAATTGGTTCACACGCTCATGTGCACCATTGGTTTGGGATCAGGGCTTTCCAACTCTCTTAGATCGATTCTCAGTACCTGTTAATCAGGTTCAAACATATAACATTCTCTTTCGGCCCTGTGAATTTTGTAAACAACATACCTGCCACAATGAAGCAATCAGTAACATCTCTCTGGCAGTGGCTATGGTACGCGCTATCTCAACTCAAAACACAACTTGGACAAGAACATAAATCTATATTCAAAACTAAATAAAGAGTTAATTTGTTGCTATACATAACTTTTACTCAACATTTATTCTAAAATATTCTAAACTCATGCTCTAACGCTAATTGTTTGAAAGTACATCAATTTAGAGATGATCGAGAAAATTTGTTGCAACTCAAGTAGGTGATGGTTGTAATGGAGTTTCGTCCTTTGAGCTGGATGTTTTGGTTGTGGTTAATCAATCAGTTACAAAGTACAACTTCGTTCATGCATACATCAGTTCAGGTTGCTATACCACATTAACACAAAGAGATGGAATTGTCAATTCAAATCCCATAGTAGTAGAGAAAGTATAAATATTAGCAGTCATCTGAGAGAATAGGGTTCGAAAAAATTATTCAATGTGTAATTCAGTGAGATAACTAGAAAGAGGAATATGGATAGGTGATAAGGAATTCAGGAGGTTAGAATTTCAGAGAGCGCAAAAGAGTACATGTACCTGCGCCATTGCACACGATTTCGAGCGAGCCATGTCATTCAAGGTCTCCAACCATCGATTACTATCATTTGGTGGACCCTAACCAGGTAGCCTATATCTACCAACATGTCTCAGTTTACTTATCAGTGACTTCATGGATTTGTGCCATGTTTTAGTTTAACCGCCCCTAACTTTCTTCCAACCTACTCCTCACTACATCAGACAACATCGCTCGTCGATGCAGTCGTTGGTTCGGCATACGTAACACATGTTTAAATCATCTCAGTTTTGGTTATGGAGCTTTCATTGTTCTTCATCTGAACTACAATATCATTATCAAGACAAACTTAGTATTTAATAATCCTATTTTTTTTTCACTATCCAGATTTTTAGGTTGTCGTTGTCGAGGTCAATGTAACACAAAATTATGTCCATGTGTTTTAGCTGTTCGAGAATGTGATCCAGATTTATGTTTATCTTGTGGTGCACATTCATCATTTCGTTCGTTTGCTACTGGAAATTCAATGGATTTACTTTCATTGCTTCAAACTACTTTACCTCCGATTACTGGAACATGTCGAAATGTTGCCATACAAAGAGGTTGGCGTAAACATCTTTTAATGGCACCATCAGATGTAGCTGGGTAAATTGAATGTGGGATTGTTTTTGCTGTGTTACTACTGTATGCCTTCTTTTAATCGGTTTACATGATGATGATAGTTAATTAACAGCGCCATCTCTGTGACAATTATGCAAATTCATCCTCACTACTTATTGGCTTGGGTAATTTTACATTGGTTTTCAGGCGAACCAAAGAGACTGTCGACGTGTTAACACTACAACATGAACAGTTCTGCTCAGTCCGGTGGCGCAACCACCACACAGGCACCTGACACCCTGGTAGACTATGCACACCATTTATATACACTAGTACATATATATAGTGATTATTTCCGATCCATGATCGTGTTACAATCAATATGCACCACATGACTGTCAAACTCATTATTATTAGCCCTAATGATATGCAATACAGCAGCACTTCAATGAAAGTAGCCTTCGGGAATGTTGCAAGACAGTCACCACTAGTATCAATGAAATCGGTCACTCTTAACTGTTAGTGTTAGCATATTCATCCAATATCCTGAGAGAATTAATGGTCAATTCCTACTGGTCAATTTTATGGCCGTTCTAGATATCAATGTCACGTGCTCCAATGTTGTTTCTTATTAGTCATCCTGACTATCAGTGTCGCTTCAAATGTTGTTTCCTATTGGTCGCCTTAACTGTCAATGTCACAGAATTTGATGCTCTTTCCTATTCGACCAAATTTTATAAATAGGCATTATCTGTAACATTTTATGACCAGGACCCGGTCCCGGATCCCAAGTCAGGGATCCTGATTCTCTTTTGGACTCGGACCTCGTACCTTCTGAATGCTTATAGAATACAGGTTCTACTACATATCATGTCTTCTTATTTTCACTCAATATGGGGGTTGGGATAATCGGATTTGAGTAGCATGTCGTGTCGGCGGATCCTCGATCCTCGCTCACGTTTTCCGACGAGGTAAACTCGAAATGGTTCAAGTATAATATCAAGTTGACGTGTTTACGTGCAGGCGTAACAATTAGCAAAACTAATGCCAAACCATGCTCAATATTCACAGCTCTCTCTATATATATAACAGCATAGCTTATGGTATACACATCGTATGGCGCAGGATAGATAGTAAGAGATGCAGCCTAGCTTGACGCAACGAATGGGCTGGAACACTTTGATTTTACCCTTTTTGCAAATAGCGAGATTTTCATGAAACCTGGGGTTAAAGGTAGAGGTAGAGTTACCCTTACTTACCTATATGACAACAAATGTTTTTTTTTTAAAAAAACTATTTCTCTGTTCTATTTCAGTTGGGGTATTTTCATTAAAGAAGCTGCAGAGAAAAATGATTTTATTTATGAATATTGTGGTGAAATTATTAGTCAAGATGAAGCAGATCGTCGAGGTAAAAATATATGTGTGTTGAAATGATTGAATCCTTTCATTGTAAAAGTCTGGTATTTTGATTATCTCTAGATCAATCAGAGTTAGACATTAACACCGTTGGATGCCAGCCCAGTGGTCCGATGGTAAGGCGTTCGCCTACATTGCCAAAGGTCCCGGGTTCGAATCCTGTGAGGTGCAGGGGTCGTGGATGCGCACTGCTGATGAGTGGTCCCATACTAGGAGGAAACGGTCGTCCAGTGCTTCCAGGTTTCTAATGGTGGTCTAACAATGATTGATTGATAATTTCAATTTTGATTATTGTTTCTTAAAGTGTCATTATTACATATTTCGGACTTGCATTAGGAAGTGAAGTAGTTAAGTGTGTCGACTACTCCTTTACCTATTCTAAGAACCTCATCAATCCTGTTGGCCTGATGTATGACCGAAATCTCGGCATGGATACAGGAAGCTCGACTAGTTTTTTCCATCTAGCGTCACTTACGTCGTAGACGAGATTATCCGTCTGATGACCAAAGGACGAGTTTACTGCACTACAGTTCGCTCCATCATGTTCGCCGGAAATAAAGGATATTATCTTTGTCTTTGTTGGGGGGGGCAGTTGTCTTTGAAGCATTGCTAGTGTGTGTATTGTGCGACTACCAAGTAAATAATGTTTGAGTTAGGAGTCGAGTACTAGATAACGATGGCAAATCAGTTGATGGAGTAACTGGTGAATCGTTACCCTTTGAGAGGTGGTTGCGATATATGTTACGCATGCCTAACTACCAACTACCTTAACGACCGATATTGTGTGATATAGTGTCAAGTTGATAGAAAGCTTAGGGCGGCCATGAAGTCACTGACAACTGAATGGAGCCATGTTAGTAGGTGTAGACTACCACCTGGTTGGGCTAGGCGAGACAATCGTAACCGATGGTTGCAGACTTTGAATGAGTTCGTTTGCAATGACACAGTTGCATCCATTCTTTCTGTTCTCTCATCATCTAATATTCTGAATTCCTCATGACCACATCCTTCTTTTTAATTCAATTTCATTGGGATATACTTCTGGAATATTATCTTCAATCCATAAACTTTTCCATTACTGCTAATAATGCTACAATCTGTATTATATTATGGGAACTGACAGTTTCATCCCTCTTGTGCTACTGTAGTAGTGTATGGCTAATTGAACTGGTCAGCGTACGAACTTATGAAGTTCCACGTTGCAGCTGACCAATAACAGCACGGATACAGAAAGCTCGATTGGCTTTTGCCAACCTGCGTCACTTATGGCGTAGGCGTGATATCCGTTCGCTAACCAAAGGACGAGTGTACTGCGCAGCAGTTCTCTCCGTTCTCCTATATTGCTGTGAAACATAGCCAGTGAGAGTAGAAGATATTCGTAGGTTACTAGTATTCGACCATAGATGTTTAAGAAGCATTGCTCGTATATCGTGGGACACCCGAGTGAGCAACGTTGTTATTAGGAATCGGGTGCTAGGTAAAGATGGCAAATCAATATATGAAGTAGTGAAACTTCAGTTAAGGTGGTTGGGACATGTGTTACGAATGCCTAACCACCGAATGCCTCGTCGAGCTTTGTTTTGTGGTGTAGGGGTAGATTGGAAGAAAGCTAGGGGCAGCCAAAACCAAAACATGACAGAAATCCATGAAGTCACTGACAAATGGATTGAGTTATGATGGTAGGTGTAGACTACTTGTCTGCAGTTCGTGAGACAAAAGTCATCGATGTTTAGAAACCTTGAATGACATGGCTCAAAATCGTTAGGAATGGCGCAAGTGCATCCATTCTTTGTGTTCTCCCAAATCCTAACCTTCTGGATTCGTCAGCACCTCTGTGGTGTGTGCTACTTATACGAACGATATAAGTAGTATAAGAAGGGACGTGAAAGAAGATGTCTTACGGTCAGAAGAGGAAAACGGAAAGCAAATAGAGCAAAAGCAAGAAAGATTTAGAGCACCGACAGGAAGTAAAGGAAGCAACAGCAGGAATGGAGGAAGGCTGGAGCGTTGGAAGTCAGGACTCAAAGATGGTGTGCAAATGGAGTGTTCAATGTAATGTTATCGTTTTTAATTGACTAAGAGTGTAAATTTACCAAATACAATCTATTGAGCCTGCCTCAGTCTTCTCAATTGGTGTCGCTGCCTCCACACAGGATGAAGATACCATGGCCTCGGGAGTTTGAAACCGGAGATGTAAGGAGCTTCTTGAAGGAGTTCGAGGCTGTGGCGGAGCTGGTCGGAGTCAAGGAACGGAAGGCGAAGGCGGTGGTGCTGGGGACTCTACTAAGAGGCAGGGCGAGAGCGGTGTACGATAGTGTGGAGGACGCTGACTGGAAGGCGGTGACGGAAAGGCTGCTGTTGGAGTTCGACAGCCCGGCGGATAGGCAGGACGCGCTGCAGAAGTTCCGAGAGGCGCGGCTGTCGGTGGACGGCGACCCACTCGTGCTGGCCGTAGAGTTGACAAGATTGCTGCGCCGGGGTCTGCCGAATTTGGATGAGTCGCAGGCACAGCTGCTAGCCTCGCAATTCATTGAAAGTGTGCCTGCAGAGATTGGCCAACAGTTGAGACTGGTGAACGCGGCACAACCAATGGACGTCACCGAGCTGGCGAAAGTAACAAGACAACTGATGAACTCAACAGTCGCCTCGGTGGCGTGTGAGAGACAGGCTGATGATGTCGTGAAGAAGATAGAAGAATTACAACGAGAGGTGGCAGCGTTACGAATAAAGGGTGAAAGAAATAATAAATGCTACATTTGCGGAGGAACCGGACATTGGAAGAGTAATTGCCCAACAAGACGAAGACGTAAATATTTTAGACCATACACAAGTTGTTCTTTATGTCTTTCGAAACTGGGGGTTTCATCATTAGTAGATAAGGGGGCGGTCTATGCGAGAGTAGGGATAAACGAGCGAGAGGTAGTTTGCCTGATTGATACAGGGGCGGCAGTTTCGTTAATAGACAAAGAGCGGTGTAGAGGTATCAGGCCGAGTGCATTAGTTGTTAACACCATCGGCGGCCACGTGTCAAAAATCCTCGGAGTCTCAAATGATATCGTGAAAATCGGCAGTTCGAAAATACAGTTTCCCTTTGTAGTGACTACGAACTTGTCGAGACCAATACTAGGAGCAGATTTCTTGAGAGAAGTAGGAGCAATTATTGATACAAGAAGTAAGAAGGTGATTACAAAGTACGGCACACTGACAATACATGAAAGCAGCGAGGTGGCTGAGGTTAGAGTAGCAAAAGAGGACATTGGAAAGAAACAGAACATTAACGAGGTGCTCACAAAATATAAGAAGTTGTTCACGGGAGACGGAGAACCGTACGGGTTTTGTAATAAAGTCAAACATGAAATTCCGATAAAGAACGAAGAAGTAACCATCTTCACAACACGACGGGTCCCCGTACATTTGGAAGCTGAGATAAACCAGCAGGTACAGGAGATGTTAAAAGCAGGTATAATTGAAGAAGCAGATAGCCCGTACAGCTCACCGGTACTTTTGGTAAAGAAGCCAAATGGAAAGTATAGATTCTGTGTTGACTTTAGAGAACTGAATAACGTGACAGAAATAAAACCATGTGCAATGCCAACAATAGCGGAGACATTAGATCGTCTACAGAGTGCTACGGTGTTCACAGTGTTAGATTTACGGTCGGGCTATTGGCAGCTACCAATAAAAGACAGTGATCGCAGCAAAACGGCATTTATCGTACGGGAGAAGCAGTATCAATTTAAACGAATGCCCTTTGGATTGGCGGGTGCACCCTTTACGTTTCGAAGACTAATGACATTGCTGCTCAGAAACCTGGAGAATGTCGAGGTTTATGGCGATGATCTGGTCGTATATAGTCGTACAGAGGCAGAACATGTGAGGCACGTGGAGGCGGTCCTAAGGCGAATTGATGAGTTTGGTTTACGAATTAACAAAGACAAGTCTCAGATAGCGGAAAGAAGCGTCACGTTGCTGGGGCATAAAGTAGGCAATGGAGAAGTAAAACCACTGCCGGAGAAGATTCTAACGATAAAGAATATTGCAGTTCCCAACTCAAAAAGGAAGTTAAGACAGTTCCTGGGAAGAGCGGCGTTCTACAGCAGATTCGTGAAGAACTTCAACGATATAGCAGCACCTCTATATAAAGTGCTAAGCAATGCGAAGTTTACGTGGACAGAGACCGCTCAACAAACTTTCGACCGAATCAAAGAGCTGTTAGATGACCGCCAAATGACGCTGAGACTGCCGGAACCCGAGAAGCCATTTACAGTGACCACTGATGCGAGCGATCACGGTATAGGTGCGGTCTTGAGGCAGTCTGACAGAGTGGTGGAATATGCCAGCCGTGTCCTTACGCCGACAGAACAGAAGTATTCCACAGTAGAAAAAGAGTGTTTAGCGATTGTATGGGCGGTAGACAAATGGAGACCGTATCTACTGGGTCGGCGATTTCACATCGAGACGGATCATAAGCCCCTACAATGGTTGAAAACAGCAAAAGACCCTCGGGGGAAGTTGGCTCGATGGATGCTACGTCTGCAGGAGTATGATTTTAGTATCGGGCATGTGCCAGGGGAGGAAAATGTAATGGCAGATTATTTGTCAAGACCGGACACCGAAGCCGAACTTCCAGAGATAGCGTGTGCAGTTAACGGCCTAGAGGGAGATCCCCTAGAACTCGTCCGGCATCAGAAAGCCGACCCTAACCTTCGGGAGGTAATCAGAGTGATAAAAGAGGGAGAAGATGTTGACAAGAGTGGAACAGATAAAGAATTAACAGTGTTGCTGAGGCAGAAGGAGAGACTGAGAGTGAACGGATACGGAGCCTTGACCTGGCGGGATGATGACGAGAATTGGGTAGCAATAATCCCAAAAGATCTGCGCCACGACATGATTCGTGAATGTCACCAGGTAGCGCACACAGGTATTGCACGGACAACTGATTTGCTGCGACAAAGTGCGTACTGGCCAGGTATGAGAGACGATGTTGCACGATATGTATTAGCGTGCCAGCGATGTCAACTAATGAAAGGGGATCGATGCATACGACCGCCATTGCAGTCAATTCCAGTAACAGCAGTTGGTGATTTGTGGTCAGTAGATGTTATGGGACCGTTCCCGCAGACGACAAGTGGTAACCAGTACCTGCTGGTGATGACTGAGCATGCCACACGATGGGTAAATGCCGTGCCGATGGCGGACCAACATGCAAGGACGGTGACGGAAGCGGTAATGCGGCACATTGTGGCTGACCATGGGATACCAAAGATAATATTAACCGATCAAGGTCCCTGTTTCGAGAGTGATGAGTTCAAGTCCTGTCTAAAGCAGTTAGGTATCAAGAGAGTACGAACAACGCCGTATCATCCACAGACGAATGGGTTAACGGAAAGGAATAACCGAACGCTAAAGGAATGGCTAGCATCTAAAGGGGGTGACTGGGAGAAAGAATTACCATTAATCTTGCTGGCACATCGTGCCTCGGCACAGGGAACAACCAGGAAGTCACCGTTCCAGCTGATGTATGGCAGACGGCCGAGACTACCAACGCATGATAAAACCTGGCCGCAACAACAGAGATGGAATACAACAAGATTGAGAACAGAGCGGAGACAAGCAATCAGGAATGTGAGAGAGAAACAAACATCAGACATGCAGAAGTCAGAACAGGAGAGAAAGAACTGGAGACCGTTTGAAGTGGGAGACCAAGTGAAGTGTAGAGAACGGAAATGTACCACAGGAAGAGGGCCAGGGTCAGGTAAGCTGATCCCGAAGTGGGAGGGACCGTACGTAGTAACCGAGAGGCGCGGCGCAGTGTATACAATCCAGAAAGGAAACAAACAGAAACGCGTGAATGCCAGTGAACTCCAAAGGTGGTTCCAAGTGCGCCAAGAGGGCGAGCCACAAACATTGATAAAGAAGACGGCTGTACGGAGATCAGAAAGGCTGAGAGAGCGACTTGTTAAAGGGGGGACGAGTGTGGTGTGTGCTACTTATACGAACGATATAAGTAGTATAAGAAGGGACGTGAAAGAAGATGTCTTACGGTCAGAAGAGGAAAACGGAAAGCAAATAGAGCAAAAGCAAGAAAGATTTAGAGCACCGACAGGAAGTAAAGGAAGCAACAGCAGGAATGGAGGAAGGCTGGAGCGTTGGAAGTCAGGACTCAAAGATGGTGTGCAAATGGAGTGTTCAATGTAATGTTATCGTTTTTAATTGACTAAGAGTGTAAATTTACCAAATACAATCTATTGAGCCTGCCTCAGTCTTCTCACCTCTACCTTTGTCTTTCTAACCTTATCTCACTCACTGAATCATACTTCTTGAATAATATCTTCAAACCCTAGTCTTTCTTCATTACCATTAGTACCTCTACTATCTTTATCACCATGGGATTTGATTTGACATTTGCGTCCCTGTGTGCTAATTTAGTGGTATGGCAACATGAACTTATGTACACAGACGTACGAAGTTCTATGTTGCAACTGACTGACTGACTTTATAATTGCTAAAAGGTTATATATTATTACTTAAACAACTCATTAACATGGAAAATTGTCAATCTTTCATGATATTTTATTTATTTCTAACAATGGAACTTGTTATTATTATTCTTATTATTTTTTTTTGCAGGTAAAATCTATGATAAAACAATGAGCAGTTTTCTATTCAATCTTAATCGTGATTTTGTTGTGGATGCTACAAGGAAAGGCAATAAAATTCGATTTGCCAATCATTCCGTGAATCCAAATTGTCATGCTAAGGTAAAATTATTTTCACATGGAGCTTTGTTTCCTCCCGTTGAGTATATATATATATATATATATGTCGCTGTTTCCTTTTCTTTTGCGTAGAAATTAAGTTACTACTACTGATACTACCACCACTACTACTGATAATGTGATGTTGTTTTTGTTTAGAGAGCTTCTCAGTCCAACCATTGAGTTAAAAACTACTTTATACAGTTTCATCGCACAATATCTGTATAGTCTTGTTGTTCTGGTGGTTGGCGGCTGCCTTTGGTTTGACTACTGAATTGGTTTCTGTTCTTTTGTTTGTAAACAATAAGTGCGTTGGGGATGTTAGATGTTAGAACTTGCCTGGTACATGCCTTATCTTGGATTTCACGTTTGCGAGCATGGGCTGATCAGTTGGCCTTGAGATTTCATTTCCCACCAGGAAAACACTTGGCTATGATTGGCTGCTGTGTATTTTAGTGTGCTATACTTGTGACTGTCCCAAGGACGTTTCTACGATGTATAAATAAACGAGATTTGTGTGCTTGATTGTATTGTGCTTGCTGTGTGTTTGTAGAATATACTTTCTACGCTATATCAAGACTTTTCTTTAGCCGTTTCAGATGAAGGTAGCCTACCTGGACGCTGGTAATTGTCTCGTTCGCGTTTATCGACTAAGGTGAACTTGTAATAGCTTCAAACGTACCAATTGAGTGAAAACAATCAAAATAAACTATAATAATATTTTCGAACCCTAATCTTTTCTGTTACCGCTAATGTGCGGTATGAAAAAGTTATTTGTCTAAACGATCATTGGGGTGGTGTTTGTGATTCTTTTTTACCTGCTCAATATTAACGTTCAAGTTCCTTTCATAAGCTGACTGACTGGTAGGTGAAGAATATGCACCCAGAAAAGTTGGCGAAAATTTTCAACTGTGCAATCACTCTCCAGTTGCTCGATATTGGGCATGATGTTGAAGTCTCGAAATATTGAAAAATAATCAGTACGCAAAGGAATTCCAAAGATTGTTATCATTAGAATGACTCACTGAAGCTGCCGGAGGCTTCCAAGAAACTGTGGTGCTTCCATGCAATCATAGCTTTATAGGATTTCTTCAATATCAATGTGGCATAGAAAGTGATTGGCTAATGAAGCGTAACATCGCTAATTATGGATTGGATGATTTTATTGGCGTTTTCACTCTGCATGAAAAAAACTCTAATCAAACGTCTTGTCTTTACATGCGGACAATTAATGAAGTAAAGATTTCCTCTGTCTTTCTTCCGGTTTTCGCAGTGTAGCGTGGAGAGCAGTTCTACTAGTCCTAGCGCCAACGATTTTATTGTGTATATCAGCCTTTTCTAATAGCAGGCTTAACAGTTATATGTAGCTGAGTCTGTTTCAACAAAAAAAATAGATTTAAACCGAATTTATGTATACAAAAACAAGAAACCGTTCTTTTCATTCACATTTTTCCATGGTGACCTTAATTTTCACAGGCTTTTTATGTACTAACTACTATTCTTTTGTTTCAATAAGCTTTGACCGAATTTCTATTATATATATTATCTCAGCTTTACTGGACTGTCCAATATTACATAATCTGTTTTGTGTTTCGAAAAGATCTTTTCAGTTAGAGCTTTGGAGATTTGTGTTTTTACACATATGAAATTATCAATCAATCAGTCATTGTTAGACCATCATTAGGCGTTCGCGCACAATACCGAAGGTCCCGGGTTCGAATCCTGCGAGATACAGGAGTCGTGGATGCGCACTGCTACTGATGAGTCCCATACCAGGACGAAACGGCCGTCCAGTGCTTCCAGGTTTCTAATGGTGGTCTAACAATGATTGATTGATGATTTCAAATGTGAAAAGATCTTTGTTTTCATAATCGCCCTACGATATATATTCATATATATATTTAGCTTAGACATGAGCGAACGTTTGGTTAATTTTAATTCTTTCGTGTTATAATCTCTTAAGATTATTATTCTATCTCCACGTTCGAACTCTCGTTATGCTTGATAATTTCAACATAGGACATATTTTTAAGTGATTAATACTACAATTTTAGCATGTAAGCACCTGAGGAGAGAATCCACAGAATAAATGAAGTTCCGTACGAAACGTCGGAGCCAAAGTATTGTAACGCTAACTTAGATAATTCTCATCTAAATCCTATTGCTCAGAATCAAAAACACGGTTGAACAGGAAAAGATTCTATTCCAAATAGCAAGGTTCAATGAAAACACGAAGGCGAAGGCAAAAATAGATACAACGTTAGTTTAACTATAGCATTTACATGAGAAGCTTCTAGATAGAAATTCACGTGATCGACTGGATTAGATTTAGCCAATCAGAATGCAGCTAACAACACGAGAATTTTCTACCCTGTTCTCCAAGAATCGATCAGGCGCTGATTGGATAGGAAATTAGCCATTCAGCGCGCAGCAACTTAGTCATGCTTTAATTCCATCTATGTCTCACTATCACAAAGTCTTCTAGAACTCAACGTATTCGCAACGTATTCAAGAACAGAATCTTAGCCGTGTCGGTAATTGTCGACTACCTGGTTGGGGTCCGCGAGATGATAATAATCGATGGTTAGAGACCTTGAATGACATGGCTCAAAATCGTTCGCAATGGTGCCGGTTCATTTATTCTCTGTGTTCTCTCAAATCCTAATCTTCTGGGTTCTTCAACACCTCTAGCTTTTACTTTCTAAACTTATCTCACTGAATCATACTTCTTGAATAATATCTTCTAATCCCAACCTCTCCGATTACTTCTAATACCTTTACTACCTCTACTACTATTGGATTTGAATTGACGATTACATCTCTGTGCTGATGTGGTATGGCAACATGAACTTATGTACATACGTACGTAGTTCTACGTTGCATCTGACTGACTGACTGAATTCAAAGACTAGAATTGTCAGTTTTATCAGTGATCAAGTCAAAAATATGTGTTCGCTATGTAGATGAGTTGGAGAACATCTACAATCAGATCAACAACTTCTTTGATGACATCAAATTCGCGATGAAAAAAGGAATCAAATAACAGTCTGTCATTCCTGGATGTTATTCTGTTACGATGTTTGTTCTTTTTTGAAAAAAAATTTAGATCCCAGATTATTTCAATTTTTGAGAATATCGATCTCTCTCTATACATATATATGTGTGCGTAACTATCGTGTACTTCTTTTTTCATGACAGGTTATCATGGTGAATGGTGATCATCGAATTGGTATATTTGCAAAACGTGCAATTCTTCCCGGTGAAGAATTATTCTTTGATTATCGTTATGGTCCAACGGAACAATTGAAATATGTCGGTATTGAACGAGATACCGATGCCACGAACCTGATGAATAATCCTTTATCCTTATTAAACACATCTGGCAATAATCTTAATCCATTATCATCGAATCTATCGATTGATACTAATCATATTGAAATTATTTAGAATTTATGTGTGTAAGTTTAAGCTGTTTACTTGTCTTTAAAGCTTGTACAATTTTGTATTGATCCAAGCTGACCACTTCATATCGACATATCAGTGATTTAATCACTCTCATTTTATCCGATCGTAGCTTCTACCTTGACGTGGTGGTCGGGCTTGCCTACCATGATGACCCAACCGAGCTATATTGGCTGGAACATACGTTCCTGAAGGTTCTACCATGCCAGGCAGGTCGATTGGAGAACGATGAGACTAAAAACAGCTACTCGAGGTCTGAGGGCGAAGTCGTACTGCTGACTGTGATGGAGGGGTGTGACAGCAGTAAGGTGTTTCCCTCGGACAACCAGCATCTGCAGCGATGCTGCCTCCTCACAAAGGAAGGGTTAGAAAAGGTCAAACCTAAAAATGTAGCACCTCACGGATTTCCGTCTCAAACGGTAAGGCCACTTGAAAAGCGGAGCTAACAACTTCCCAAAAATCACATAATAAGACCATGTGCTACCGGCCTCAAGCGGTTGTCCTTACACTCCCAGGTCTCCAAGACCAACGTAAATTTGGTTTCCTTTTCACGTTCTTCAAGAGGCACCCTTACATAATATAAGCAGTTGGAAAGTGGCATCTGCCCGCATAGTCGTAAAAGCACATGAGACCAAATTCTTTAAAATCATATACTTTTTACAGTCTATTTTTAACTGCTAAATCTCAGGGTCGAATCTCTACGATCCATCTACATACATCTGTTTAGAAATCCATGTGATACTACTCATCTTCATATAAACTGTTATGAGACCTACAGCCACTACCTTACTTACCTACTTACTTACGCCTGTTACCCCCAATGGAGCATAGGCAGCCCACCAGTTTTCTCCAACCAACTCTGTCCTGGGCTTCCCTCTCCAGTTCTGTCCAATGTTTGTTCATTCCTCTCATATCTTTCTCTATTTCTCGGCGTAGTGTGTTCCTTGGCCTTCCTCTTTTCCTTTTGCCTTGAGGGTTCCATGTGAGGGCTTGTCTTGTGACGCAGTTAGGTGCTTTTCGTAGTGTATGTCCTATCCACTTCCACCGCTTCTTCCTGATTTCCTCCTCCACTGGAATCTGGTTTGTTCTCTCCCACAGTTCGTTGTTGCTGATGGTGTCTGGCCAACGAATCCGAAGTATTTTGCGTAGACAACTGTTAATAAACACTTGTATCTTCTGAATGATGGCTTTCGTAGTTCTCCATGTTTCTGCTCCATACAGTAGAACTGTCTTGACATTTGTATTGAAAATCGTGATTTTGGTTTTGGTTGAAAGTCGTTTGGAGTTGCAGATATTTTTCAACTGTAGAAATGCAGCCATTGCTTTGCCAACCCGCGTCCTCACATCTGCGTCCGATCCACCTTTCTCGTAGATGATGCTGCCCAGATATGTAAAGGTGTTAATGTCCTCCAAGGCATCTCCATCAAGCGTGATTTGGTTTGTGCATCTTGAGTTGCATCGGAGAATTTTGCTTTTTCCTTTATGTATGTTGAGACCTACTGCTGCAGAGGCTGCTGCTACACTCGTCGTCTTCTCTAGTATTTGTTGTTGAGTGTGCGATAGAAGAGCCAGGTCATCTGCGAAGTACGTACAATTGTATTCGTCAGAAAAAATTGTAACAAGAACAGTCAGTTCAGATTTACTCATTGTCTAGTAAAACTAACCATCCTTTTTTAAAATAATAAGAAAGGCTATGTTACATCGTTGAACACTTGTCTATCACTAATAAATACATAACAGGGAATAATTTTTACTTTCAATTGTAGTTTTCAAAGCCTCTTGATGCTGCAATAGGCTATCTGTAATTGACTATGAGACTAGTAGTAGTAGTGTAGCACTTGAGTTCGATTAGCGACGAAACAGCTTTGTCAGAAGAAAGAAAATTATTCTATCACCGGATATGCTAGTAAGCAATTGAGAGATAGAGAGGAAGGGAATCAATCGACTGAAACATTACTCGTTTTATACCTAATGCAGTTTACGATAAAAAGTTACATGAATAAATACGCATACTTTACAAGACAGTGATGCACAAAGATTTCTATAAAAAAAGATACAATTCAGTCCATACTAGGGTAGAACAATTGAGTATAGGGATAGAAACGAAAATAAATACTAGTATATTTTTAATCAGGCTTTGAAGAAACTACAATTATATCTTCGAAATAAGCTCAGATTATTATTTCTCACTGTCTCTTCACACAACAGGGTCTGAATACATGTAATACTATGATATGAGCTTAATGGAACAGTTACATTCACTCTTCGTCTTTTCTTAGACCCCGAATTTCCAATTTAACTTGTTGATCATTTTTATTCTACTAGTGCACTTTTCTTTGCTCGGATCACATATTCTATGCCTAGTAGCTTTTGTTACTAACACTACTACTACTACTGTAGTGAAGGAGAACACAGGTGAGGGGAACCGAATTGTATTTATCTCAAATTACAGAGTTACTCAGTAAAATAGGAAAACCATATCGTAAATCGTTCATTTGCAAAATATCAGTTCATCATATCGAACTGGACTGTTCCTGTTGCAAAACACCAATCCATTGTCACTATTCATGCGTTTCATACACATTCCATTGTGTTCCCACTCTTCCTTTCTTGATCTTCCCCCATCTTCTGCTGTCAGACATTACGTTGACACTCACGTCATATACTACTTATAAGTAGCTCACACCACGCTACTACTATTAGTACCTTTACTACTCTTGGACATTTCAATTCACCCAACTTGAATTCGTACATGTATGCTCAATTTTGTGTTGCGTATACCCGACTAACTGAGTCCAAATCACTAAACAAAATAGATACGTCATAGTTTAGTACGTGTGTTATAGTGTTTACTAAAGAAAATACTATACCTCCACTTTTTTCGATTTCGCTGTGAAGTAACTCCAAAATTGTGCCTAGTTTTACGTGAGCTTGTTAAATGGATATTGCGTTCACACACACCCACACACACAGTGTAGTATTAAGTTACGCTGATGTTTGTTATTTTTGTAATAAATCGAATTTCTAAACTGAACTTTCAAGGAAATACGATTTCAATGGTTTTTATGAATAGGGTTTGCATAAACCATTTCATCCTCGAATGTGCTGATATGTCAGCAACTTGAATGAACCGTTGCACATGTAACTAACTAGTCAAACACATTCTGTCAATGTAATTGCTAACGAGAAACTACTCTCTACAGACCATCTCATTTATGATTACTATCACCAGTCATGATTATGTTGAAAACTCAAGTTAGAGTAATGTTTCAACATTTTCGGGTTATCTGATGACTTCAACGTACGTTTATTATTGTCAATAGTTATTTTCACTTACAAAAATAATCTTACTTTTGTTTTATCATTTCAGGTTGATAATCTCTCTCTCTGTCCCTCCCTATATATATATCCGTATGTGTGTGTGCGCACGTGCATAACTGTGTACATCTGGGTTGTGTAAAATGTAAATGTGTGTTTATATATATACTAGTTGTGTTATGTATTTTTTTCTCTGTGTGTGTGTGTGTGTAAAATGCTAAAATCTCACTGCTTTTTTTTTTATTTATTTTAATTTTTTGTGTGTGTATTTACGTTGTATCTGTTGAATTGTGTTCTTTTTTTTTTCTGTTATAAAAGAGAAAATATACTGTTAGTACTTTTCAATACTGTTTAGTGTTATTATTATTATTATTATTATTATTACTACCTGGACATGGCTGTATAGATCAGATGTTCACACTGTGTTAGGTTGTAGAACGTAGACACACGTTCAGACGTCCCTACAATACTAGTGCTATTTCTCGACTTTATAAGCGACATTCAACTCTGTTGATTGTGAGGTTTTTTTTTGTCACTGTCTGTCACTGAAAGGATTACCATGGAAGTAAATTAACCGTATATAGGCTTTGTACTCGGACACTACTGGTTAAGTGAGAGCTTACGGGGAACTGTCAGCGGAATTCTTTACTCCAGGTGGTGTCCGTCAGGGATGTCCACTCTCTCCATTCTTGTTTAACTTTGTCGTTGACATGCTTTTAGAATTAGCATTATTTTCATCTGACTTTTCAGGAGTGGACCTTCTACCAGGAGACTCGCTTGCTGACTTCGAATATAATGATGACATAGTCCTATTCGGTGAAAGACGCTGAAAAAATAATGAGTCTTCTGACTACCCCTCTAAATGCAAAATATTGCTTCAAGATTGGGTTGAATCGACACCTGAACTAGTGATAGGGAGTAGAGTAGTTGAGCGTGTTGACTGCTTCACTGATCTTAAAAAAATCAGTGGCTTAAACCTGGCGGTTGAAGTCGGCGTAATGCGAATTCGGAAAGCGTATACGTGAAAGTTGCCTAACATGGAGATCCCTGTCAATTTGATTATGTGCTTCCCAATTTACGATATGTAGTAGTAGTTTGTGCTGTAACCTAGTGACCAAAGCGAAAGAGCAGGGCGAGATAATGTGAATTATATACTTCATCAATGCTTTCCCTTTATCTACTCACAACCGTACTCTTGTCAATGTGTAACATTGAGATATTGATCAAAGAATTGCAATCACAACAATTATCATTAATGAATATATGTATGTATATATGATAGTGTTTATAAGGTAATTTAAAGAGTTAGGCTTCAAAAACAGAGGATGAGGCCGTAATCTTATAGAATCCGGAAACTAATTAAATGAGTTGCATATTAGTTATAGAAGGTAGGCAAACTTGAAATAATTTTCGGTTATCAGTTAGATTAAGGCGAGAGTTTAAACTTATTAATAAATGATTACAATTATCATGAAAGAAAATTTTGGGACTAATTGAAATAGATTGACTTAATGAAAATACATTTGGCTAAAAAGGAAAGTCTCAACCTATTCTTTCAAGCTCATTTACAAAACGACTCTATTATTGACTGGATTCACATGTCTTCCAGTTTTCAAAACACTAATTGTTCATCACAATCGGATCCAACACAATTATAAAGGGAACTGTATTTCAATCGCCATTCGTTAGTGAACCTGCGAACCCCGAAAATACAATCAACTCATTTCCTCTCAATGAATTTCATAGTTTACAGGCGATCAGTCAGTCAGATGTAACGTAGAACTTCGTGCGTAAGTACATCAGTTTATGTTGTCATACTACATTAGCATAGAGACACAATTGTCAATTCAAATCCAATAATGGTAGAGATAGTACAAGTATTAGCAGTAATGGAGATTAGGGAGCGAAGATATGATTCGTGAAGTATAATTCAGTGAAATAAACTTTACAAATAGAAAAGTAACGGTAATGAGGAATTCAGAAGATTAGAATTTTAAAGAACGCAACGAATAGTTGAATCTGCGCCATTTCCAAACGTTTTCGAACCCTGTCATTCAACTTCTATAATCATCGATGACTTTCATCTCGTGGACCCCAACCAGGTCAATCAGTCAGTTGTAACGTAGAACTTCGTACGTAAGTACATCAGTTCAAGTCGCCGTACCACATCAGCACAGAGATGTAATTGTCACTTAAAATCCAATAGTAGAAGAGTTAGTAAGGGTATTAGAAGTAATCGGAGAGGTTAGGATAAGAAGATATTATTCAAGAAGTATGATTAAATGATAAAAGATTAGAAAGTCAAAACTAGAGGTGTTGAAGAATCCAGAAGATTAGGATTTGAGAGAACACAGAGAATAAATGCACCGGCGCCATTGCGAACGATTTTGAGCCATGTCATTCAAGGTCTCTAGCCATCGATTATTATCATCTCGCGGACTCCAATCAGGTAGTCGACACTTACCAACATGACACAATCCAGTTGTCAGTGACTTTATCGACTTGCTCTATATTTTGGTTTGACCGCCCCTAGCTTTCTTCCATCAGTTCAAGTTGCCATACCACATAAGCACAGGGACACTATTGTCAGTTCGAATCCCATAATGGTAGAGATAGTAGAAGTATTAGCAGTAATGGAAAAGATTAGGGTTCCAGGATATTATTCAAGTATAATTCAGTGAAATAAACTTAAAAAATAGAAAAGTAATGGCAATGAGGAATTCAGAAGGTTATAATTTGTGAGCACAACGAATGGATGAATCTGAGCCATCGCAAACGATTTCGAGGCCTGTCATTCAAGGTTTATATCCATCGGTGACTTTCATCTCGCGGACCCCAACCAGGTAGTTGACACTTACCATCATGAGACAATCCAGTTGTCAGTGACTTTGTCGAGAAGTATAAGTCAGTAAGATAAATTTAAGAGTGAGGTAGAGAATATGAAGAATTCAGAAGAATAGAATTTCTTGGAGCACAAAGAGTGGATGCACCTGCGCCATCGCTAACAATTTTGAGCCGCGTCGTTCAAGGTCTCTAACCATCGATTATTATCACCTCGTGTACCCCAACCACGTAGTATACACATATCAATATGACTCAGTCCTCTTGTCAGTGACTTAATGGTTCGCTGCCAGGTTTTGGTCTGGCCGCCCCTAACTTTCCTCCAACCGAATCCTACACTGCAAAACATAGCTCGTCGCGGCAGTCGGTGGTTAGGCATATGTAACACATGCCCCAACCACCTCAACTGATGAAGTTTCACCACTTCATCTATTGATCTGCCATCCCTAACTAGAACTCGTTTCCTAACGACAGCATTGCTTATTCGGTCATCCCAGGATACACGAGCAATGCTTCGGAGATATCCCTGTAGAATTCTTTTTGAATGTTTTGTGTTTTGGAAAATCCCTCCATGTTTACATATTTTTGCTATGACATGATGGACTTTTTCTCTTGACATTTTTGGTATTTTATTTGATTCCAATTTGAGATTTTACCATTGTATGTTGTTATTCTTTCCATATTTTGTACTTATATTGAAGTTTTTGTGTTTGCTTTTGAACTGTACATATATTGTTTAAATTTGATATAATATGGCTACCGCCACATTTTTGGATAGACGCGGTGGCTGCTGGACTTAGTGTCACTTACTAGCTATTGTAATAGATACTCTACGGAGTAATTTAGTCCTGGAAGAAACAAAAATACCGTAAGCCTCTGTATTTCCATTTTATAACAATATAGAGACGTTTTCTCCTAGAAAATTTGACCTTTTGATTTGGCTGGAACCTGGATCTAGGAGTAACGTACAGGAGTGTTTCTATTGGACGCGATTAGGAAAGCCGCCGTCGAAATAGATTCTACAGTCTGGTATTTGCTCTTCTTGCGTGAATTATACTTTGGAAATCTCCATTGGAACATATATGATTTGGATCTATTTGGATTATTAAGAATTACAAGGAAACATTTGGAATTTAATCGTTTATCGTAATTCTGAACTGAATTTTGGATTTACTCTATTTTGTATTGTTACCGTCTTTACTGAACTTTATTTATGATGTCAAACCGAAAAAAATCACACATGAGGAGGGTGGAAGAGCTCGACGGATCACAGGGCTCTAGGCAAGTCGTTGATGATAACCTTTTTATGGGTAACCCACATGTTATGTCTGATATTTATTATTGTAAGTCATCGATAGAGGGTTTAGAATTACCTAAGGTTGAACTTTCATATTTTGATGGAAGGTCTCGCGACTATTTTAAGTTCATACGACAAATAGAATCGTTTATAGAACCTCGAATCAAGGATGATCAAGTGCGTTTATTGTATTTAATTCATTATTGTAAGGGAAAAGCAAAAAATGCGATTGAAGGTTGTATTATTATGGATCCACAATCAGGATATAAGAGAGCTAAGGCCATTCTAAAACAGCTCTTTGGACAATCGCATGTAATAGCGCGAGAAACCTTAGAGGACTTATTTAGAACTGGGAATGTAGAATTTAATGATCCTGAATCATTGACGAACTTGGCCATTAAAATGCAGAATGCTTCTTTAACTTTAGAACAGTTAAATTGTACAGCTGAACTTAACTCTATGGCTACTTTAGAACGAATAGTAAGGCTCTTACCTCGTCGAATGCAAGCCCAGTGGGCAGAGCTAGTATTCAAGTGGGACGAAGAGGAGAGAGAGCCCAATTTTAATGAATTGACGGAATTTATTATGTCTCGTGCTAAGATAGCTAGTAGTAGGTTTGGAAGATTAGCTTATCAGGCTAAAACAGGAAATAATACAGAAGCTACTAGTGGTCTGCGTGCGAGACATTCGGATTCTTCGTTTCTACCTAAAGCACGCTCGGAAGATAAGAGATTTGTCAATTATATCACGAAAGCATACGCTGATGAAGGACGAGTATGTGACCGTAACGATGTAAAGCCTCTTGATGCGTGTCCTAGCAAGAAGCCGGTTGATGTAACAGATAAGATGGCTTTTCTAAGTGTAGAAAAGAAAGAAAAAGGTGAAAAGTGTAGGCATCAAGATGGATCCGAAGTGTGTGATGATAAAAGCCTCGTAGCTGCTCGAAAAGCCTGGAACGGTAATTTGGATTCTAGTAATCAGAGGTCAATGAGTTCAGCAAATATGAATAAGACCCAGGCAGGATTGACCGAACGGAATA